GACAATAAATTGAGCAAAAAGTCAGTAACGGGCTCAAAGTGCAAAGGAGACAGCAGAGAAAACAGAGCACGCTAAAGGAGAAGACAGAAGAGCAGACCTGGAGCAGACAGACAAACTCAGACAGATGGATGGACGGACGGACGGACTGCCGGACGGACGGACAGACAGACAGACAGACAGACAGACAGACAGACAGACGGGCGAACGCATTGGCCGCCTGGAGGCGGCTGGCCTTGCACGTGGCGCTGCGTTTGATTTCTGCCCCGAAAGCGAGGAAAATGAAATGAAAGTAGTATCTCTGTCCCTCTCCGAGCGCCGTGGCCCGCCCCGGGGGACGGCCAGGGACGGCGGGGCGTGTCCGTTCGCCCAGAGGGACTCCCCCGGCGGCACCGCGCTGCGCGGGGTCGTCATGGTCACATGCGGTCAGAGGGAAGCGAAACGATTCGATAAATCGCAGAAGAAAGACCGTGATTTGTCAGAGCGATGCGACCGCTTCCCATTCACTTAGCTCACCCTCGACCCCGGCCACGGCGACGGCAACGGACGGCCCGAGGTCCCAGTTCACGGCAGTCTGCTGTTTCGGAACGCGGTTCGATCCCCGCCTGGGGCGCCATGGTCGCCCCATTTTCCTGTCTCTCGGACTTTGATTGTTTTTGTTTTCGGACGGCCCGGCCGCCGCCGCGGGATCGGTGTCAGCGGAGCGCGACCGTGTCCGTCCTGCAGGCGGACTCCAACCCGGGCTATGTTTTCGTCGCTCAGTCTCTCTCGCACTCCTGGAGCGTGCCGTGTGGGTGCGAGAGAGAAACAAGTTAGAGCAAAGGGCGCCGATCAAAATCAGCGTCCTGGGCGTGCTGGAGGCTGATTATTACGAGAGGACGTCTCTCTGTCTCTCTCTTCTTCTTTTCTCTTCTCTTCTCTCTCCCCTCTATCTCTCTTTCCCCTTCTCTCTCTCTCTCTCTTCTCTCTTTTTTCTCTCTCTCTTTTTTCCTCTCTCTCTTTTTCTCTCTCTCTCTTTCTCTCTCTCTCTCTCTCTCTCCTCCTCCCTCTTCTCCCTCCTCTCTCTCTCTTTGCAAACCCCCCTGTGGGGGGAAAACGGCGAGAGAGCGGCCCGGGGCCGGGTCGGCGAGGCGTGAATCAGGGTGGCCCGGGGCGACGGCGCTGCGGCCGCTCAAAGGGATGATGTTAACCACAGCGAGGGCTGTTTATCCCGCGCAGTGTCATCACCAACAGAAGGGCGCCACGCCCCGCCACGCCCCGCCACGCCCCACCACGCCCCGCCACGCCCCACCACGCCCCGCCAAAACTCGGGAGCCCCCCTAAACTTCGCACTAATGGGATTCTAAACCCCGCAGCGCCCCACTATTGACCCCGCGCGCCTCGCCCCCACCCCGCCCACCCACCCCGCCCCCCCTCACCCCCCCCACCCCGCCCCGCCCCACCCACCCCGCCCCACCCCGCCCCGCCCCGCCGAGCGTCGCTCCCCGTGGCGCAATAAAACGCGAGAAACAGCATGTTTATGAGGTGGTGGCTGCCCTGGGCCGCCCCGGGGCTGCCGAACGCAGCAACGCGGCAACGCGCCGCCCTGGCCCGCGGCCGCCCGCCATGTAAACAGTTTACACAAACGCTTTCGAACGCGCTCCGCGGGGGTGCTGCTTCACGTTCACGGCTCCGCGCTCGGTGTGTGTGTGTGTGGGGGGGGGGGGGGTGTTGTTGTGTGTGTGCGTGTATGTGTGTGTGTGCCACTCTGCGGTCTCGGACGCAGCCCTCGGCAAACGATTCACAACCACCCGCACCCGCGGGAGCCAACCTGAACACGCTGCCACGACGCCAGCCCTTAATCCCACGGACAACTTGTGTCTGTCATCTCTCCTCTCCGCTCCGTCGTCGGTGGCGGGAACCACCATCACCATTCGCCGACAACCCGAAGCGACCCCCAGCCCGTTCCCCTTTCAAATACAAGTGACGGGGGCTCTAGGAGTTGAGGGAAGGTGCGTGCCACGAGACTGCAACCCATGCAGTCAAAAAGAAAACATAAGAAAATTAGCACAGTTTCAAAACTTTTGCCTTCTTGGATTTCAAAAGCTTTGTCGTCCCTTCAAACACGTGCATGTACCCGCACACACGCGCGCACTGGCCCTTTGACACATCTCCAGACTCCCCGAACGTCTTTCCTTTTGACTACGCCTCCATTTCTGTCGAAGGCCTAGTCCGTCCAATCAGCTCGAAAATCTGATCAACTCCGTGCAAGGCCGGCAAGGCCGCTCCCCTGGACCTTTTTTGGCGCCTCTGTGGCGCCTCTTCTTTCGTCACGCGAAAGGGTCAGCGGGTTATCCAAATACACTAGGCCTGCAAGCAGACTGATTCCCAGAGTCGTTGTCGTCGCTCTGTCTCGCGCCTTTACGGGACGCCCCATGAGTGCGAGGGAGAAAGAGCGACGACAACGACTCTCGGAATCGGCCTACAGGTCCGTCTTATGAAAGAAGGCGCGACGGAGGCGCTGCCGCCGCACCCTCGCTCGTCATGGCCCGCCCCACCCCGCCCCGCCCCACCCCGCCCCGCGAAGCCGGGCCGGGCCCACCACGCCCCGCGCGGTCATGTTTGCTCACCAGGAGGCGATGGAGCGAAGCCACCCCGTCAATCTGGGAGGGACCTTGTCGGGAGGGAGAGGGAGCGCTTCCAGATTGATGGACATTACCTGCTCCAGCGGAGGCGGCGTTTTCGTCGCTCTGTCTCTCTCGCACTCGTGGGGCTTCTCGTGTAGGAGCGGCAGAGACAGAGCGACGAAAACGCCTCTCGGCATCAGTCTGCAGGGTCCAGAGGACAATATGCCGCCCGGGACGGCTGGATCCTGGAGAACGAGCGGAAAAATAAATCAAGAAAAAAAGATAAGTTGGGTTCACTGCAAAGACAATCCCAAGTGGAAGTGGCCTTGCCACTCCAGTGGCGCCCCGTTTTCGAATGCCAAAATTTGGCCTGAATTTGCCTGAAGTGCTGTGATTCTATTTCATTTTATTACAGAATTAAAGTGATGGTCTTTGGTCCTGGCGAGAACTGCTTTTGTTCCAAATCGGTGTGAAATCGCAGTTTTAGGACATTTGATAATTTCATTCTTGTCCTCAGTGACTCAAGATTACGTCTAAAACTTTAAATCCAATAGAGATCTCTTTAATTTTTTAGGAGAAAGCAAAACTGTCTGTATTTCGAGCGACATCTGCTTTCTGGCGGCCCCCACGGCTCTAATTTGGGCCCGGGTATATGGGGTAAATCACGATGCTTTTATGGGTCCGCATTTTTTTCCCAGCCCACGCTGCGCCCCGGGACGCCATTTGGTGGGTTTTGGTTAAACCACAGCCGCATTGCGGGCGGGAGTGGGTGAGAGGGGGGTGGAAAAAGAAGGGGGAGGAGAGAGAGAGAGGAGAGAGGGAGAGAGAGAGAGAGAGAGAGAGAGAGAGGAGAGAGAGAGATTGTGTGTGTGTGTGTGTGTGTGTGTGTGTAAAAGGGGCGGGGAGGTCGCAAGAGTGGGAGGCTCAGAAAGTGAGAGAGAGAGAGAGAGAGAGAGAGAGAGAGAGAGAGGACGGGAATGGCCAGTCTGGGCCTTGGCCGGGGCATGGCTGGGGTGCCCCGGAGTTAACGACCATGTTACTGCATTATAGAAGGCCGTATGCCGCTCGGCCCGGCCAGCGGTCATTCGGGTTCGGGAGCGCAGTCACGGGGGCGTGGAGTCGGCCGTGGGTTCGGGAAGGGGTGTTTGGTGGGGGTGGGGGTGAGAGTTAGGGGTGACCAATGGCCCTTTTTCGTCGCTGGTTGCCAATCTTTGTTGCGCTGACCTGTCGTCTGCACGGCCAGCGGCGTTTTCTGAGTTGATTGGTTTTGTTAACTTTTTTTGCCAAAAATCTGTGAGGTATTGCCATGTTTGGTCGCCTCCCACCTGAGCCCAGCTGCAAGGGTAGATCCAGAGACGGATCCTGGGGGAATGGCGTTGTCGCTAAAGGTGCCTAACTACAGGAGCAAAGTGGGACTTGTTTCCTGGCTTCGAAGCCTTCCCCACTGTGAGAAAAAAGTACAGAAAAAGTACGGAACATGTCTGGTCAATAATTAGCCTGGACAGTCCGTACTTGCCAACTACGGAACTTCCGTACTTTTTTTCCGTACCCGTTTACATGGGTTCATATGGAGCAAGTACGGACGTTCCATACTTTTCTCCGTACCTCCGTACTACACTTTTCTGTACCATTTCCGTACAAAAGTGCGGAATTTTTAACAGTGCCCTCCCCTTGCCCTGGATCTGTGCCTGCTCAGCTGCTGAAGAAATGTTATTTTTGTTTTGTTTTGATTGTTCCCAATTCAGTTGTCTCTAACCGACCCGTCCTCGTGTGTTCCAGATCCCTACCAGATGTTCGGGCCGACGAGTAGTCGACTCGCTAGTTCAGGTGAGTCCTACTCGAAGACCCCCACTACCTCCCTCAAAACGTTATCGTCGGAACTGAGTTTCGTGCAAGGTAATGCTGAGCTCCAGCCACTCACTCCTCCTCTCTGCGCAAGGAGAACAGGGCAGTCGAAATCATGTCAAGGTGCCGTCATTATGACGTCATAACGGACAGTAAAAAGTCTAGGACGCATCGCTTCGTAAAACGAAGGCATTGTAGAATCCACGACGAAGTGCCTCATATCATGAAGCAAAGTTTTTCGTAATATGAATCATCTCCTCATATTACGACTTGATTCTACAACTCTGTTTTTAATTAATGTCACGTCACGGTCGTTAGACACATTAATCGTTTGAATTTAATTTCACACTTCAGTAAACATCAAACGGCCGTTATATTAGGATGTCACTCCCGTTTGAACGGGGATCAACGTTCAAACGAATGTGACATCGCAGTCAGACGAGAGTGATGAAATTCACATTCCAAATAAGTCATGATTCGGGGAATAACAGTAAATGCCTTCATTTTCCTCGTGGGATCCCCAGGGTCCATCTAGGATCCTAGTTGCGAAGCAGATGCTTTGGAGACTATTTTGACTAAATTTTGGCATTATTTTGGCTTACCTGTTCTCCCTCATGGCAAGAACGACTCCTGGTTTTCCCAGGATTTCCCTGGAAATTGGCAATGTCTTTACTGAGGTCCCTGGGAATGTCACGGACCGTTTTTGCCGTGTGGGTGCCGCACAGTGTGCCAGAAGACCGGTGGAGGCGGTCAAAATTCTTGGGCTCCAAAGTAACTTAACAGAACTCGAACCGAACGCGTGACCCCACCAATGGATTCCTCGTTCGAAGAGCAATCCATTGGTGGGGTCACACGTTCGGTTCGAGTCCCGCTTGGTGATTCTAGAGCTCAAAACGCGTCCGGGATTTTGGCCGCCTCCACCGGTCTCCTGGCCCACTGTGTGCCGGCGCCCAGACGACTGGTCGAATTGGGTCGGCCAGCGTGCCGCGGCGTGCCGCCAGCCCGGCAGCCCCGACTAACTTGTTGACTTGGTTCCCCACCAGCAGGCTCAGGCCAGATCCAGCTGTGGCAGTTTCTCCTGGAGCTGCTGTCGGACTGCAACAACGCGGGCTGCATCACGTGGGAGGGCACGCAGGGCGAGTTCAAGCTCACGGACCCCGACGAGGTGGCGAGGCGGTGGGGCGAGCGCAAGAGCAAGCCCAACATGAACTACGACAAGCTCAGCAGAGCGCTCAGGTCAGTGGCTCACACTATACTTTGTACACACTAAATGTTTTTGTACAAATTTTGTACGAGACATCACAGTTTTTTGTGCACACGAACTTTTCGTACAAATTTGTACAAAGTTTTGTAGAATTTTGTACAAAAATGGCGGAAAATGTGCAGTTTTTCGTACAAAAATTGTACGAAAATTTCGTGTGCACAAAAAACTGTGATGTCTCGTTCAAAATTGTACATAACATTTAGTGTGTACATCAAATTTACACAATCATGCATAATATTGTGCGGAGCTTATGTACGTGTCTGTACATGCACATGCACACTTATGCATTAAAAAGTCCACAAGTGTTCAGTGTTCAGGGCGGGCTAAGTCGTCAGTGTTGCCGAAAAGGTAGGCAAAAAGTAGCGATTGGGATACTTATTGTCTACCTTTCTGGCAGCACTGCTAGATTTTCATCGCACTCTTACTACTATTTTGTTCGTAAACACACAATCTTTTTTGCAAGGCTTTACGAATTCGGAAGAGTTCTCATGACTGCGCTAAAGGAACGGTTCCATTTGTGTAACGAAAAAACAATTTGATATAACGGCTATATATTTCAATTTTCAATATCAACTCAAAAGAAGTTTTATAAATACACTCACTTGAGAACTCCTTTTTGTCTACCAGAGAAGAAAACTTACAGTCGAAACAGAAAGGAATCCTCAAGTGAGACTCGCTGCGTTTTCCTGTGTACGACACTGTGGTCTAAACTGTGCCTCCCTGTGCAGGTATTACTACGACAAGAACATCATGACCAAGGTCCACGGCAAGCGGTACGCCTACAAGTTCGACTTCCAAGGCCTGGCCGCCGCCACCCAGCCCGCCGCGGCGGACCCCGCCGCCTACAAGTACCAGTCGGACCTGTTCTACCACCACTCGGCCAAGCTCAACTTCATGTCCCCGCACGCCGCCATGCCCTCCTCGTCTGGTGAGAACCCTGCACTGAAAAATCAAACACACTAAATGTTATGTACAATTTTGTACGAGACATCACAGTTTTCTTTTGTACACACGAAATTTTTGTACAATTTTCGTACGAAAAACTGCACATTTTTCGCCATTTTTGTACAAAATTGTACAAAATTTCGATCAAATTTGTGCGATAAGTTCGTGTGCACGAAAAACTGTGATGTCTCGTACAAAATTTGTACAAAAATATTCAGTGTGCACTGAAAATTAAATGGAAAGCTTCTGCACTGAGAGTGATAGAGTCATAGTCGAGACCAAAATTTTGGGTGAAGCATTCTTTCTTGCCCAAATTTGGGTGATAAATACCATCAGGCTCTGACACACCCTTTATCACACTCTAAATGTTGTACAGTGAAGATTCCCAAAATTTAAATTAAAAAAAAAATTTTTGGTTTTTTTAAAAAAAAAAAAAAAAAATTTCCCCCCCCGGGGGGGGGTTTTTTTTTTTTTAAAAAAAAAAAAAATTTTTCCCCCCGGGGGTTTTGGGGGGTTTTAAAAAAAAAAAAAAGGGGGGGTTTGGGAAAATTTTTCTCCCGGGGCCCAAAAATTTAAAAGGGTTTTACTTTTTTTTAAAAATTTTTTCAAAAAGGGGGTTTTATGGGGGAAAAATTTTTTTTTTTTAAAAAAAAATTTTTTTTTTTTTTAAAAAAAAAAAAAAATTTTTTTTTTTTGGGGGAAACCCTTTTTCCCCCCAAAAAAAACCCTTAAAAAAAAAAGGGGAAAAATTTTTTTTTTTCCCCCGGGAAAATTTTTTTGGGGAAAAATTTTTTTTAAAAGAAAAAACCACCCGGGCCCCTTTTAAAGGGGGAAAAAATTTTTTTCCCCCCAAAAAACCCCCCCCCCCCAAACAAAAAAAAACCCCCCCCCCCAAAAAATTTAAATTTTAAAGGGGGCCCGGGGTCCTTCGGGGAAAAAAAAATTTTTCCCCAAAATTTTTTTTAAAAAACCCAAAACTTTTTTTTCCCCCTTTTTTTTTTTCCAAAAAGGGGGTTTTTCCCTTTTGGGTAAAAAAAAAAAAAAAAATTTTTTAAAGGCCCTTTAAAAAACCCCGGGAATGCCTTTTTTTAAAAAAAAATTGGGGGGAAAAAAAAAAACCCCCGGTTGGGGGGGCCCCCCGGGCCAAAAGGGGGTTTTTTTTTTGGGGGGGGTTTTTTTTAAACGGGGGGAAAAAAATTTTTTCCCCCAAAAGTTTTTTTTTTAAAAATTTAAAAAGGGGGGCTTTTCCCAAAACCCTTTTAAAAAACCCCTTAAAAAAAAAACCCCCCCCCTTTTAAAAAAATTCCCCCAAATTTTTTTTCCCCCTTTTTAAAATTTAAACCCCCTTTTTTAAAAAATTTTCCCCCAAAGGGGGAAAAAAAAACCTTCCCAAAATTGGGCCCAAAAAAAATTTTTTAAAATTTTTTTTTTTTAAAAAAAAATTGGGGGCCCCCCTTTTAAAAACCCCTTTTTTTTTCCCCCCCCCCCCCCAAACCGGCCTTTTAAGGAACCCCCCCCCTTTTTTTTTCCCCCCGGGGCCGGCCCCCCCCAAACCAAGCCCCTGCTCACTGATTCCGGGAGTCGCGTCCGTCGCTCTGTCTCTCTCGCACTCATGGGTTTCCCGGGGGGGGGGGGGGAAAAAAAAAAAAAGGGCCCCCGGGGGAACACCCCCCCCCCTGCCGCTCGCTGTCTCGGCGCACAGTGGGCCAGAAGACCGGTGGAGGCGGCCAAAAACCCCAGACGCGTTTTGAGCTCCAGAGTCGCTAAACGGGGCTCGAACCGAAAAGTGGGGACCCCACCCAAAGGATTCCTCGTTTGGAGACCCAAACCATTTGGGGGGGTCACACGTTCGGTTCGAGTCCCGTTCAGCGACTCTGGAGCTCAAAACGCGTCCAGTGTTTTGGCCGCCTCCACCGGTCTTCTGACCCACTGTGCGGCGCCGCGGCATCCCGACTCCGTTTCCAAACACTTTCCGCTCGTCCGCCGAGTGGCCGCGCCAGGCGGCCGAGCGCCGCCACTTGAGTGTCCTCAGTTTGACTCGCTTTGATTCCGAGCTGCGCTCCGCGCGGGGGCTCCACCCAGCCCTACCTAAACCCTGCCCCGCCTCGCTAGGCTGTCGGCACGCTGATTCCGAAACGTCGATTCGTCGTTCTGTCTCTGTCGCACCCGCATGGGGCGTCCAGTGAAGAGAGAGAGAAAAAGAGAGAGGGAGGAGAGAGAGAGAGAGGGGAAGAGGGGAAAAGGGGAGAGAGGAGAGAGAGAAAGTGGGGGGGAGAGAGAGAGAGAGAGAGAGAGAGAGAGAGAGAGAGAGAGAGAGAGAGAGAAAGTGTGAGAGAGAGAGAGAGACGACGACGACGACGCTCGGCGGAGACTTTTCCAGCCTGGAAGGGTGGCGGGCCACTGGCGGCGCTCGCGGGGGAGGCAGCAGCGCTTGCATGGCGGTGGCACTGCTGTACACTGTACGGCCCTCAAGTAGCAAACAGTTAACAGTCACCGGGCAGCGCACAATGGGCGTGAGGGAGGGAGACGGAGGGCGAGGGGAGGGTGAGAGGGAGAGGGAGGGGGGAGCGCGGGCGGGCGCGGCGCACGGCTTTCTGCCAGCGGGGAGGCTCAAAGGGTAAATGGGTTGGAAACGAAGAATATCTGTAATTTGTCTTGGAGTGAATTGGATGATTTGAGGAGAGGCGCGTCGCGTCCAAAGGCCCGGCCATGGCCCCGGCACAATAGACCGCTAATGTGCAGATTAGCCGTGATGTCGCGAAGGGGAGGGGGGTGGGGCGTAGCGGCGAACGGGCAGTGCCACTCTCCGGGGTTCGAATATGCAGTCGACAGAATTTTTGAGCTTGTTTCTCTGGGCCAGGAATGCAGTAAATGCGTACATGCTTTTTGCACATGAGCATTGACGTCTAGGTGTCAGCTATGTACGAATTTTCGTATGATTTAGGAACAATGTCATGGAAACACAGCACAATATGGGAAAATAAAACTTAAATTTCCTATTAAATTGCTCATAGCTCCCTGACGTTTGAGTACGTCAATACTTGGGGACAATAAGTCTATTCACTTCTGGTGTGCAGTTTCATAAGGTGGACGGGATGGCGTCCCAGCTGAGCACCGCTTTGTCTCTCTCGCGCCTCTTTCGGCCGCCAGTTAGTGCAAGAGGGACAGCGACGACATCCGCAGGGACCACTCAAGTTTACTTCAAACTTGAGACTCTTTTCACTCTGCAGCCTGAGACCATTGTTACGGGATTGAAATAAAATCAAAGAAACTATTTGGTTTTTAGTTTATGTGCTTGGTAGTTTGAATATCACATAACTATGAGAATTGAGGAGGCTTACCATGCTCCTAAGCGTTGCAATCGAGGGGGTAAACACTTCAAGAAATCGTGTACAGACTACTCGGTATTACAGTGTATTACGGGTGTATTACACGTGTATTACGGCCTTAAAATGCTAAAATTTGGCACACTTGACCCAAAAATGGTTTGACGATCACGTGTATTACGCGTAATACACGGTTTTTGTGTACAGGGTATTACGCGAGTGGTTACCCCCTCGGTTGCAACGTTGAGTATACTTCCAGTGTGCACAATACAAGCCAGGACCCTGGGCAGAAAATTAAAAACTCGGAAAATGGCATTGGGTCTCTCTCGGCGGGGTGCTTCCGGGGCGACTTTGGGGGCTGCAGAGGGAAAAATACAGAGACAGAGAGAGCGGGGCGACTCCGGGGACTGCGGAGGGGAAAAGAGAGAGAGACTGAGAGAGCGGGGCGTAATTCTGTTTCGCATCGATTTGCGACGGCGGAGTGCAGACTGCCGCTCGCCGCGCGGCCAATAAGAGCGCTGCCAGTCGCAGCCAGCGATGTGCCGCATTAACCGGATTCCGGATCCCGATGATTTGGCCGCCAGAAAACGGATTACCCGACTCGACCCGGGTAACGCGGGGCGGGGACCTTGCCGCGCCTCGCCATGGCCACGCCCACGACTCGGCACACCGGTCGGCAAAAGGACAAAGAATTCAAGGGAACGGGAATCGAGGGGTGAATCACTAGTGTACTCATGTGTACAAATTTGCCCGTACTCAGTGTACTCACAAGTTTAATAAGGGTGAAATTCTGTACTTTTTCGCTTGATTTGGCGTTGAGTGTCGTTTAAAACGCTAAATAAAGCCTTTAAACGTTTACAAATGCGAAATTTGTGAGCAAAGTAAGGTGTACTCACCCGTACTCATGTACTCATGTGTACACCAGAACACTGAGTCATTCACCCCTCGACGGGAATGGGGAGGGCACATTAAGCCCGGTGCCGGGGCCGGGGGTCAAAACTCTAAAACGCGTTTCGAGCTTCAGGGTTGCTAAACAGGACTCGAAGCGAGCGTGTGGCCCAGTGGATTCCTCGTTCGGAGAGCAATGCATTGGTGGGGTCACACGTTCTGTTTGTGTCCCATTTACCCACAGACTCTGGAGCTCAAAACGCGTCTGGGATATTGACCGCCTGCATCGGTCTCCCAGTTGAAACTGCGCTTCGCAGCGTGTGCTTGCGCCGCCGTGCCCAACGCCTGCGAACTGCGGGGTAGGCAACGCGGTGGACACCTCGCCTCGGCGGGCTGGCCTACCTTGTCGTCTGCAGGGGCGCGGCTGTCGCACACTGTTAAAAAAGCCGTACATTTCAAGGGAAAAGGTACGGCTAGAGACCGTACCTCACGGTGTACAGAACAACCGTATCCAAAAACCGTGCTTCCCATGAGAGCCCAGGTTATGAAAAACCGTACTCCGTACCCCAAAAGCCGTACTGGCTGAGGTACGGTGGTACCAGGCAAATTGTCTACCAGACTGAGCCTGCACTGGTAAAACAAAGGCATAAAAATTACGCCCTTTAGGGCATAAATACTCTTTTACGCCCCTGCAAGGGCATAAATCGTTTTATGCCCTTGGGAACGGCGTAAATGGTATAGGAATTTCAAGCAAAATTTTAATGCCCTTCCCAAAGGCATTAACGATTTATGCCCTTTAAGGGCGTAAATCGTTTACGCCCTTAAAGGGCATAATTTTTATGCCTTTGTTTCACCAGTGTGTACCTTTTCCCGTGTAATTTTTCTACAGTGCACAGTGGGCCAATAGTAGACCGGTGGAGGCGGCCAAACACCAGAAGCATTTTGAGCTCCAGAGTCTCTAAACAGAACTCGAACCGAGCGTGTGGCCCCACCACTCTAGAAACTGAAGAGAGTGCATGGCATGCTCCTCCTAGGAGTCAACCACAAAGCACACTCTTCCCAAGAGCATGCTTGCAAGCACACTCTTCCCAAGAGCATGCTTGCAAGCACACTCTTCCCAGGAGCATGCTTTCAAGCACTCTCCTTGCTTGCAAGCATGCTCCCAGGAAGAGCGTGCTTGTCAAGCATGCTCCTGGGAAGAGTGTGCTTGCCAAGCATGCTCCTGGGAAGAGTGTGCTTGCAAGCATGCTCTTGGTAAGAGTGTGCTTTGTGGTTGACTCCTAGGAGGAGCATGCCATGCACTCTCTTCAGTTTCTAGAGCAGTTGATTCCTCGCTCGGTGAGCAGTCCCTTGGTGGGGTCACACGCGAGGCTCGAGGCCCATTTAGCGACTCTGGAGCTCAAAACGCGTCTAGGATTTTGACCGCCTGCACCGGTGTCTCCCAGTTGAAACCGCGCGTCGCAGCGTGTGCTTGTGCTGTGCCCAACGCCTGCGAACTGCGGGGTAGGCAACGCGGTGGACACCTCGCCACGGCGGGCTGGCCTACCCTGCTGTCTGCAGGCGCGCAGCCGACGGCCTCCGCTTTGCAGCGGCACAATTTTTAGCACACGGCTGTTCAAGCTTAAGTCTGTGAATGTGAAATTTCTTCCTCCGTGCTTACGCCTTGTCTGCTTGTCTCTGTTGCAGTCTTCCCGTCGCCGTCCTCGTACTGGAGCAACCCCAGCGCCAACCTGTACTCCAACATCGCGAGCAGCCACGGCATGGCGCACGCGCCGCACCACGTGGCCGGCCACCTGCCCAGCTACCCGCACTACGCGTGACACGTGAGCGTGGACGCGCGGCACTCGGGCGTGGCGGCGGGCGTGGCGGCGCGCTCGTGGCACCAGGTCGACACGGCGACGGCGTGACGGGCCCGGCCTGCCCAGCCTGACGACGGCGTCAGGCCGGCGTGACAACGGCGTGACACAGGCGTCACGCAGGTGTGCCATCGGCGTGTCATCTGCGTGGCGTGCTCCTAGGCGTGCCTATGGGCGTGTCATCTGCGTGGCGTGCGCCAAGGCGTGTCTCTGGGCGTGCCATCTGCGTGGCGTGCTCCTAGGCGTGCCTATGGGCGTGCCATCTACGTGTCATCTGCGTGGCGTGCGCCTAGGCGTGTCTCTGGGCGTGCCATCTGCGTGACGTGCTCCTAGGCGTGCCCATGGGCGTGCCATCTGCGTGGCGTGCGCCTAGGCGTGTCTCTGGGCGTGCCATCTGCGTGGCGTGCTCCTAGGCGTGCCTATGGGCGTGCCATCTACGTGCCATCTGCGTGGCGTGCGCCTAGGCGTGTCTCTGGGCGTGCCATCTGCGTGGCGTGCTCCTAGGCGTGCCTATGGGCGTGCCATCTACGTGCCATCTGCGTGGCGTGCGCCTAGGCGTGCCTGTGGGCGTCTCATCTGCGTGTCGCGTGCTACCCGCTCGTCATCTGCTGGCGTGCTACCACGTGTCATCCTCATGACGTACGCCTAGGCATGCCTCTCGGCGTGCCGTGCCATGCCATGCCTGCCCTGGCCTGCCCGTGCCCTGGGCGTGCCGTGCGTGGTGGTGAAGTGAGCGTGCGCGATGGACCGTTCGTTCGGCGACTCTGCGGCGCGTGGCGTGACGAAGCGTGACTTGCATTACCTGGCGGGACACCGGTCTTCCTTGTGATTCTCATCGTAATCTAAAGTTAGTCATACTTTATACCATTAGAGGGCGCAGGATTTTCACCCACACTGTTATATCGTGAATATATTTATTCCTTCTTTCTTTTCTTTTTTTCAAAAAAAAATGAAGTTTTGTTTTTGTTTTGTCTGTGGACGTGCTACACCTGAAATCCTGCAAAATGGTGGTGAATGAGTGATTTGTTTTTGCCAATTGATATTTTGAGGTGAAATGCTGTGGATGTGGAGAGGTAGGAAACGGAATGTTTGTTTTTTCTAGTCAGCTCTCTAAATTATGAATCAGTGACATTTTGTGAAACACGAGAATTCTTTTTCTCGTGACACTTTGGACAGTGGGTTGGATTTAAAAGAAGCTAGGTACCTTTTGAGGCCAGCAGACTCGCAGGCCAAGACGCACCCAGCGGTCCTGGGTTCGAGTGCCGCCCACCCATGCTACCATTTTTCTCTCCACTCGTGGTGCACGCCCAGCGCCAGACTCCCACTGACTCATCTTTAGAGGGACGCGAGAATGGATGTGTTTTGTGATGAATTCGATAGAGCGCCGTAGGGCGTTTGATAGATCTCAATATAGCTTTGCTAGTCATTAATGTAATGTTGGTATTATGTTGTGTTTTGTTAATTATTATTTACGCTTTACGCTCGGACCCGAACAGGACAGCTTTAGGAGGCGACACCGTATGTACAACTGTGAACTGTGGATTTAGGGATTAGGCCGCCACCGGTCCAGTGTTTCGCGGCCAGTCGGCATTTCTGGTAGGAATCAAACGCCGTTTCAGTTGTGACACGCTTTTGTCCTGCCACCTTGTTGGTTCTGAAATGTCCATGATCCCATTTTTAACAGAATGGCTAACTATTTCAATAGACAAACTATCCCATAATCCTGGTATGAGGTGGACAACTGTCATCACTGCAATTTGGATGGAAAGACTTCACGCCAAAATATGGCGAGACATAAAAGTCTCGCCAAGATTAGGTCAGACCTGAAAGTCTCGCCAAAATTTGGTCAGACAAAAAAGTCTCGCCACAAAACGGTCATACACAAAAGTCTGACCCCAAAATGGCGAGACTTTTGTGTCTGACCACCACCGAAAGGCTGTAATGCGCCAGACGGTTACGGCCTAAAGGCCGTGGTCAGACACAAAAGTCTCGCCATTTTGGGGTCAGACTTTTGTGTATGACCGTTTTGTGGCGAGACTTTTTTGTCTGACCAAATTTTGGCGAGACTTTCAGGTCTGACCAAATCTTGGCGAGACTTTTATGTCTTGCCTCTGGAGTGGCGAGAAGTCTGACCTTTGGATTTGTAGTGATGGCGGCTGTCTCTTTCAAATGTAGTTACCTGTAAGCCCTTCTTCGAAATTTATGTAAATGTGGCAAGTAACGCTGACATTGTTCAAATTTGAGAGAGCCCACATGCTTGACGTTAATGGCCTGACTGTTCGCTTGTAACTGCTTCCATTGAGAAATGGGTGGCCGAAAAAAAAACAGTACCCACACTGGGAACCTTTTCTCTGTCCTCACCATGGACGTGTTTTGATCTTGATGCAGATTTCGTACTGGACTGACAACCCATTTCTCATTGGGATAGGAACATATCCCCCGGGTTTTTTCGCCGCAATTGAGTCCCGAATACTGGTCTTCATGTTTTGTGCTCTTGCGTTTTTTAGAGTCTTTCCACTGTTGATTGCCTTTCAGGTGGTACTTGCTATAGTCGCTTTAGAACTAAAGGGCCGGCCAGCAAACACTGTAATGTATATTTTATTGTTACGAATCTGGTGGTTTTTCCCCACTCGGAGACTTCATGTCATGTTATTATTTATTTTACCGATTCATTCATCGATTCATTTGCTCATATTTTATTTGCATTTCATCTTTTTCCTCATTGTTTTCCATGTTGTTCTAGTCTGGGTTTACATTTGCGGTGGATCTGTTGCTGTGTACATACCTATTTATTACCTTGTTGTATACTGAACTGTACAGATTATAACAAGCATAAACTATCCTAGTATTTAGTTAATAAAATTTTATGAAACTCAGCCCGCGTTTCTTTTGCTTGCTAATTAGTCTAGTCTATTTCACACACTTACATTCAGCGGTGGTTTCTGTTTCTTTTTTCTAAATAAAAAGGAGGGCGCGGGGGTCAAGAATCGCGTTCCGATTAGTATTCCAGTGTCTCTCTCTCTCTCTCTCTCTCTCTCTCTCTCTCTCTCTCTCTCTCTCTCTCTCTCTCTCTCTCTCTCTCTCTCTCTCTCTCTCTCTCACTCTGCCATTAGTCTCACTCGGTCGGCTCCACGAAGCTCCACGGGGCCGCGGCCCAGCAGACCGATTCTGAGCTCTGCTTTCGTAACTCTGTCTCTCTCGCACTCATGGGGCGTCCCGCAAGGGAGCGAGAGAGACAGAGTGACAAGCAGTGCTCGGAACGTCAGCCTGCCCAGGCCGGAAAGCGCAAAGCGAAACACCGCGACGAATATCTAACCAGCCGGGCGAGGAGTCGTTTCGTCACTTAGTCTCTCTCGCTTTGCGTCGAAAATGGTCGACCACCTCTGATTCGTCGGAGATATGGAACCTTCACTCTCATTCCAGGAACGTGACATCACGTTGAAACGAACGTGACATCACGTTGAAAATGTCACGTTCGTTTGACCATTGTGTCATGTTCGTTTGAATGTGAACAAGCTGGTTTTTGGCCAATTCACATCCAAACGAATGTGACATTTTGTCACGTTCGTTTGAACGTGATGTCACGTTCCTGGAATGAGAGTGTTCTCGTGGGCCTAAGAAACAGATGCCCGGTGCCCAATGGTCTGTGACCCATTGATTTTGGTCTGAAAATGACTTGTCGTGTGACGCTAGTTGAGCTCCAGTGCGATGTACACGATGGGTTGCCTACCTATGCGGCGTATGCTGAAAGCCTTTAACTTTTTCACCAGAAAGAGACTGATTAGGGCCGAAATGGTCCTAGCTAGATACAGCGTCAGGACACAAGACGGAGTGCTCCGGCACAGAACACTCCAATTTGGGTCATATTCAATTTTCATCCGGTACCGTAAGCCGGGGTAATATGAGACGGAGTTTGGTTTGCGTAAGACTCTGAGCTCGCTATTCGGCCACAAAGAGAGCCACTGCTGTAAAAAATCAATTTCTCTTTGTTGGTACCATTTTTCGCCGTGAAGTTGACAGGGATGAGTCATCAAATGCCACGAGCATTATAATTCTAACGGTAAAAATCATGCGTCTCATATTGCCCCGAAATTGTCTCATATTACCCCGGCCTACGGTATCATCAGCCCAAGTTTGGTCGAGCCACTCGCCGTGGCGAGGTGTCCACCGCGTTGCCTACCCCGCAGTTCGCAGGCGTTGGGCACGGCGCAAGCACACGCTGCGGCGCGCGGCTTCAACTGGGAGGCCGTGCAGGCGGTCAAAATCCCAGACGCGTTTTGAGTTCCAGAGTCGCTAAATGGGCCTCGAGCCAGAGCCCGGCACTGGAGCTCGCCATGGGACCCGTGCAGAGCGGCTCGGCCGGGGAGTCGTTGTGCGACAGAGAGGTCCGAGAAAGCCGAACCTACGATACCGATGTGCCGAATGCCGCCGAGTGTGGCCGAACGCATCTGCTCAAACGAGTCCCATCTGGGCGACGAGTCTCACTGTCTCGGCCAGCCAGGCCCGGCCAGGCCCGAGGCACGGAAGACAGACAGACGCGGGCGGCGGGACGCCGAGGCGTCGTCGCTTGCTGCCAGCGAGCGAGCGACGACAGAGCATTCGCACGCCTGCGTGTGTGCGTCCGAATCAGTCGGTTGGGAGAGAGAGGTCCGACCCGCCCGCTGCTGTGCGACAGAGACGACACACGCTTCGAACGCAAGCATAGGCACAGCCGCCCGCTCGCTTGGGTGGCTTGGTTGGGTAGACGAGGTAGACGCCTGGCCGGCGCTGTCGACTCGACCCCGTCCCTCCCTCACCTCACTCCAGTAGTGCCAAACGGGACCCGTTTTGGTGGCGAGTCTCGCCGAGCAAGCGCAAGCAAGACCGAATGAGTGCGGCGGGACGAGTCGAGTCGGGACAGCCGCATCGACGGGACGAGACCGAGCGTCAGATGGGTGCCGATGCCGGGCTCTGCCTCGAGCCTCGCGTGTGACCCCACCAATGGACTGCTCACCGATCGAAGAATCAAATGGTGTGGTCACACGCACGGTTCGAGTTCTGTTTAGAGACTCTGGAGCTCAAAACGCTTCTGGAGTTTGGCCGCCTCCACCGGTCTACTATTGGCCCACTGTGCGACGGCCGCGCCCCTGCAGACGACAAGGTAGGCCAGCCCGCCGTGGGGAGGTGTCCACCGCGTTGCCTACCCCGCAGTTCGCAGGCGTTGGGCACGGCGCAAGCACACGTGGCGGCGCGCGGTTTCAACTGGGAGGCCGTGCAGGCGGTCAAAATCCCAGACGCGTTTTGAGCTCCAGAGTCGCTAAATGGGCCTCGAGCCTCGCGTGTGACCCGCGAGTGTTAAGGTGGCCCCACGATTGGGCGGTTGGTCTCAGACGGTCGGTCCGGAACGTCATGACCAACTCAGTCGGCAAAAAGCGTCGCCCACCAAGGGACCTGGGTTCAATGCTCAGGTCCATGTTTCTTTTCCTTCGTTACCGCCTCCCAACCATCAGTCTGAGTTATAGCGCGCCTTTAGTAAGTGGAGCGGTGGCTCAGTGGGCAAGAGTGTCGCCCGCTGCGAGTGAGGATCCTGGGTTCGAATCCCTGACACTCAAATCTTTTCATCAGTTTACCACTTGAATCTGGTATCAACAGTGCAAGTTTCGGGGCAGGCACCTCTAAGCGAGTTCGTGGCTGAGTGGGCTAAGGAGTTGGCTGTCACGGCAAGGGCTTGGGTTCGAGTCCCCGGGTGCACGAATCTTTTCCTGAGTTTGGTTCCCAAATCCCGTACAATGGCTCTAAGATTGGGTGGCTCTGAGGTATGTGTCACCGTGGCTCAGTTGGCAGAGCGATGAATACATGGAAGGGGCTGGCACGAGAAGGTCTTGGGTTCAACTCCCAGGTGAGGCAAGAGAGAGGAAGGGCTGGCATAAGATGGACTTGGGTTCAACTCCCAGGCGGGAAAGAGGAAGGGCCGGCATAAGATGGACTTGGGTTCAACTCCCAGGCGAGGAACAGGAAGGGCCGGTACAAGCTGGAATTGGGTTCAACTCCCATGCGAGGCGAGAGAGGAAGTGCCGGCACGAGAAGGTCTTGGGTTCAACTCCCAGGCGAGAAAGAGGAAGGGCCGGTACAAGAAGGACTTGGGTTCAACTCCCAGGCGAGGCGAGAGAGAGGAAGGGCCGGCACAAGAAGAACTTGGGTTCAACTCCCAGACAAGAGGCGAGTGCGACGAGAGAGGCGAGGGCGGTGGCACTGGGTTCAACTCCCAGGAAGGGAGTCCAAGCGGCGTAAACGGTCTTGCAGAAGAGGGGGGACAAAGTGCGAAGAAATATTGTCAACAACACAATAGCCATACGTACAGCTACCTGACACGAATCTTTTATCAATGTTTAATTTGAATTTTTCTTTTACGACGAGCTGATGCACAGAAAATGCCTGCATACACTGAATCTCTTTTTTACTAAGTCTTACTTCTAGGGTAAACTGACGTCAACTACGCATCGGCCCGTCGTAAAATTGTATTGTCAAAATTGATGACAAAAATAGGTCGTCGTTGATACAATGTGATTTTGTACCTATCGTCTTTTTCACCTTTCGTAGGAACTGATTCTTAGTATCCGAATAGCGACATTAGATTCTTTCTCGCCTAGACTGGGAGTTGAACCTTAATCTTACTTGCGCCGGCTCTTCCTCTCTCCTGCCACGCCTGGGCGTTGAACCCAAGTCCTTCTTACGCCGGCCCTTCCTCTTCCTCCCCTCGCTTGGGAGTTGAACCCAAGGCCATCTTGTGCAGGCCCTTCCTCATCCTCGCCTCGCCTGGGAGTTGAACCCAATTCCAGCTTATGCCAGCCCTTCCTCTTCCTCGCCTGGGAGTTGAACCCAAGTCCATCTTATGCCGGCCCTTCCTCTTTCCCGCCTGGGAGTTGAACCCAAGTCAATCTTATGCCAGCCCTTCCTCTCTCTTGCCTCACCTGGGAGTTGAACCCAAGACCTTCTCGTGCCAGCCCCTTCCATGTATTCATCGCTCTGCCAACTGAGCCACGGTGACACATACATCAGAGACACCCAATCTTAGAGCCATTGTACAGGATTTGGGAACCGAACTCAGGAAAAGATTCGTGCACCCGGGGACTCGAACCCAAGCCCTCGCCGTGACAGCCAACTCCTTAGCCCACTCAGCCACGAACTCGCTTAGAAGTGCCTGTCCGGAAACTTGCACTGATGATACCAGATTCAAGTGGTAAACTGATGAAAAGATTTGAGTGTCAGGGATTCGAACCCAGGATCCTTACTCGCAGCGGGCGACACTCCTGCCCACTGAGCCACCGCTCCACATGCAAAAAGGCGCGGTATAACTCAGACTGATGGTTGGGAGGTGGTAACGAAGGAAATGAAACATGGATCTGGGCATTAAACCCAGGTCGCTTGATGGACGACGCTTTTACCGACTCATCCGATCGACCGTCTGCCTCTAATTTCCTCAAATTCGCCATGAACGTCTTTGGAACAATTGCGCCGTGAAGGTAGGCCACCCATCGAACATGTGACATGGGATGTGAACTGAAAAAAGATCAGTCTGGGATGCGAACGAACTCAGGTCGATTGTGCCAGCCATCGCCTCAACCAACCCAGCCACCGCAACACTTCCCTGCATGGCGTCAAAGAGGGACCTGGTTTCAACTCCCAGGCATAGTAACGCTTTCCTCTGCTTATTTGACAAAGAAAGGAACTCTTCTGCATTCTACAGAGAGAGGCGAGAGTTTGCGTTATATTAAAGCCGGGATTTCTTTTCAATTCGCATGGCCTTCATTCAGAGCTACGCCGTCAAGGTAGGCCACCCATTTGGCACGTTGCAGTCTATGCGAAGAAGTAGATTTACCGAGATTTAGGAATTTTCCAATAATATCTGAATGTACCGAGAGTAATTTTAATGTGTCTTAGGATTGGGAAACTTAAATAAAATGCAAATTTTCATTGGGTAGTCTTTATAAAATAAGATTGCAAAACAAAAAGCAATAAAATATTTTTCTTCTACATACATATGATGAAAACCAGAGCCGCAGAGCCATACGGCTCTGATGAAAACAAGTCTTTTAGGCTTCTCCCAAAACCTTTTAATTATAAAATGAGATCTGAAATGCTTGGTCAGAACTTTTTACACCTAGCTATGCATTCAAAGGCCTACCGTGGTTTATGAGTTTGAAGATGTTTTCTAAGAGTGCCTGCTTGGGTGAATTTCTTTTCACAAACTGTGCACCCAAAAGGTCTATCTCCAGTGTGAATTCTGCTATGCTCTTTAAGTTCATATGATTGTTTGAACTTCTTGTTGCAAACTGTGCACTCAAAGGGCCTTTCTCCTGTATGAGTTCTAAAATGAGTTCCAAGATTAGCTTTAGTGCTGTACCTCTTGTGACAAACAGTGCATTCAAAACACCTCTCCCCAGAGTGAGTTTTAATATGAGTCTTGAGATTAGAAGAGCTACTTATCTTCTTTTGACAAATTGGGCACTCGAAAGGCCTATCTCCAGTGTGGGTAACTTCAACATGTTGCTTGAGAAGATATCCGCTGGACAAAGTTTTATTGCAAAGTGGGCACACATGGGCACGCAAGCTTTTTGGTTTTTTACCTAAATGGACTGCATTAACATGAGCATTCAGTAGACTCCTTTGACTGTACTTTTTATCACATTGAGTGCACTCAAAGGGCTTTTCTCCAGTATGACGATTTGCAACATGAGCGTCCAGAGCATGTTTCTGAGTAAACTTCTGATCACAATGTGAGCACGTAAAAGGCTTTTCACCAGTATGGGTTCTTATATGTTTTCGAAGATTCGCTTTTCCTCTAAACCTCTTAGAACAAATATGGCACTCCAATGGCTTTTCACCCCGATGGAATTGAAGATGTAGATTAAGACCCCTTTTCTCCCTAAACTTCTTGCCACAAATGGTGCATTCAAACGGTCTTTCATCAGTATGGATTCTTATATGACTTCTGAGATTACTACTCTGCGAGAAAGACTTATCACAAAAATGGCACAGGTAAGACTTTTCTCCTGAGTGAGTTTGTAGGTGTGAGCTGAGGGATTTTTGCGTAGTAAACATCTTGCTACAGATGTGACACAAAAATGTCCTCTCTTCTTCGGGAGCATTTTCCTCCTCACAGGTTAGTGCTCCCGAAGAATGGAGCCGGAGATGAAAGCTTAGATAGATCTTCTTATCATACTTCTTACCACAAATGGCACATTCATATGGTTTTTCTCCAGTATGTGTTCTTATATGACCTCTAAGAGCACTTGGTTGTGCAAACTTCTTATTGCAAACATGGCAATTATACGGCTTTTCCCCTGTATGGGTTCTTAAGTGTAATCTAAAGCCGAGTGCTGTAGTTAACATCTTACTACACATGGTGCAGGGGAACATTGTTCTTCCTTCGTGGATAATCTTCTTTGGTTTGAATCTTGTATTGTCATCACTTATATCGTTAGATTCATCTGAAGAGCACTCAGAATCCAAAGACTTGTGACCAAGAGCTGTAATCAAAACAATAAAGGTGAAATTCCAGGTGCAATGCAAAAATACCCAACAACATATCAGATTTTTTAAACTCACAAGGTGAATATGAATCATCATCACTTGAAGCCGAATTAATAGAGTTCTCACTTTCAACTTCCTTAAAATTGTCATTATTATCACTATTATCATCATTATTAGACTGGTTGATTTCATCCTGGCCAATTTCATCTTGTTTGGTTTCATCCTGGTTGGTTTCATTCTGGTCGGTATCGTTATGGTTGGTTTCATCCTGGTCGGTATTGTCATGGTTGGTTTCATCCTGGGTATGGGACGCTGATGACATAACATGACATAATGATAAAATTAGATTTATAATTTACACCATTGACATTTGAGGCAATTCATCCATACTAAATAACTTTAGTTAGAACTACTTTATGAATCTGTCTCCAGGTAATACCTAGAAATAAATAACAAAATACAATTTTAACTCACAGAGCAGACATGAATCATCATCACTTTGTGCCAATGTAATAGAGTTCTCTTGACTATTGAAGTTATCATCATTGCGTATAGTGTCAGCCTGAATAGGAGGAGCTGGTGAGAAACAAAGAATTTTCAATAAGGGTTGTCATTTCAAAACAACATTTGGAAAAGAAGACTTAAAAATAAATAAAAAGACAATGCAAGCATTTGAAAAATAAATTTAAGTTGAGGTCTACGAACCTGAAGTGTTTTGTATCCTTCTGTCGATGTAGTTACCAACCAATCTCTCTCCTTCCAGAGTGTTCTCCCCTGCCTTTTCTCCAGCATGTGTCCTCAAATGAACTCCAAGAGAACTTGATTGTTCAAACTTCTTCCAGCAAACTTGGCACTCGAAAGGTTTTTCACCTGTATGGATTCTGAAGTGTAATCTCAATCCTAGTGGTGTAGTTAACGTCTTATTGCAGATGGAGCAGGGAAATATCCTTCTTTCCGTATAAGTATTTTTCTTTTGGTTGCTGTTATTCCAAATAAGGGGGGCTGTCAACATGGCAAATAAAGTTTTCATTTACTGTTTGCTATTAAAGCAATCCACCAATATTAGATACGTAACTTCTCCATGTTACCTTTAAGGCATCGGGAGACTTTTTGTTGACGAGTGTCATTGGGGACATGTTTTTCACCTGAAAAATAGACAACTGATCAAAAAAGACATTTAACAATGATAAAAAATTATAAATGAAGTTCTGCACACCTAAGGTGTTTGAAATGACAACAACTTCTCGATATTTTTCCATGCTAGATATTATATCCTCCATCCTTTCAAGAAACAGCTGCCCTCTACTTTGAGAAACCAAATTACGCGCCCTGGCACAGAGGCGTAAAAATTTTGTACATTTTTCTTCCATTGACATGTCTTTTCTGCCTTCATTCAAGCCGTTTGATGGGACAGACACAAGAGGAGCAACAACACAATCACTGCCAGGATCGTCAGGGTCGGAGAGGCTCTCATCAACAAGCTGCTTCTTCAACTTCTCCGTTAAGGCACCAGGCCCTCCTCTTGGGGACCTCCGGGTACCCCCAGCGTTGCTGAGCATGTTGACTGAAGCGGGGAGGAGAACTAGGGCAAAACTGGCAGAGGAGTTGGCGACTTGATCAAGAGGAAGCGAGATGGTTCAACACTTGGGCTCCAATACATCTTGAGTCTTAGTGATCCCCAATCTGCAACATCAGCTCTTGAGAACGACAGATTCCGTCTGAAACGATTGAAACAAAAAAAAATCCTGATAGCAATCTTTACCGCGTGAGGTTGAAGAAAATAAAAAACAAACTCAGGGGAACTAACCTCGTGCATCACGCTGTTGCCCCTGGCTGCACGTAAACAAAGACGTCAGCGAGACGCTTCGACGCAGAGATGTGTTTCTTCGGTGCAATCCTGGACCATACTGCTCTTGAGTATAGGAAAACAGGCAAAACAACAGTGCGAAAGTCCTCCAAAACAATCCTCTGACGTCTGCCCATCAGCTGTTGCTGTTGTCAAAACGAAAGCGAAGGGACCCGCCAAATTATTCGCAGGATAGTGGTCTCTGTACGCACTGCTCGCCAGGGTTGCCAGATTAGGCTAGAAACCGCCACTTAGGCTATTTTTTTGTCTCAGTCGGCGGGTCGAAATTCCGATTTCCGGGAAATCGCAAATTAGGCTATAAATGATACAAATTTGGGCGGTTTTGATTCCAAGTGATCGAAATGGTCTTTATTGGCTGTTTCGGCTTGTTTCGGGTCCAAGTCGAGAGCACCAATACCTCGCCGCCGAGGTAGTTTGACCGCACCGTATTATTTCTAGGGTTTGAAGACGAAAACTTTGGGGTTAGGGCCTATTTCATTGTTTTGTATTGTCACGGAACAAATAAAGACTTAAACATTAAAATCTGATTTTTGAGTATTTTGCCCGCAAATTTAGGCGGGATGGTGCTTTCATTAGGCGGTTTTAGGCTATTTTGAAAGGTGGCGGGAAGCGGCGGGTCGAGCGCGCTCTGGCTGCGGGGCAGTGCACTAGGGGTCTGGCAACCCTGCTGCTCGCACTGCGACCACCTGGCCCGCGATAAACCAAACACCAGGAGCAGGGTTGCTTTGGGAAAGTCATTTCCACAGTTTTTCTTGGCTTCCTCTCTATGGAACCCTTCGGCTGTGTTATTTTATGGTTTCTATGACGTAAAACTGTGTGTCTCCATGCGTAATGTTAGCGCTGTCAGTTTCATTCATTCATCATTAGGTACGACTTTGACATTGTCTCCTTATCCTAGTAACACTTTCTATATTCTATAGAACCAAACAGAGGAAAAAGATGAAATATTCGTTCCAGTTGCCTGAAAGGATGTTTGAAGTTCTCAGTTCTCGCTGTTATGTATCTGATCGTTTACAAGCAGTCGTCTCTTTCCCATGCATGGTGAATCAGCAGAAGTGCCCTTCTTCAATGAAGCACAAGCTGCTGGTGGAGCACCCAAAGGTTGTGACAGTGGGCTTTCCAGTGGCCAGCCTCAATCCTCACAGTTGAAGTAGCTGCACGGTTTGTGCCCTTTGAACCATTGGTTCGAGTTTATGACTTCTGATTTGTCTTCAGCTTCAAGCAAGAGCATCCACCTTACAGGATCAGTTGCTCCTGTTGCCAGACTGCGTACAGCTCACACATGTATTCTTCGTAAAATAGCTGGTAAAACCAGATCCATCAGTTTAAAGAGCCACTGCTACTTAATGGCAGGATTATATGAGGTATCATTCAAAAAATTGTTTTTAACGACATACAAGTGCTTTCAGTTCAATTTATTTAATTTCTCTCTTCAAATGGTTTAATAATCAATCTCTGAGTCCATGGACATAAGTTTATTTTTCTGGAAGGATGCAAGCAGGTGCAAGGAAGACGGAGTGGAAAAAGCTGAGTGGAATTAGTCTGTGGTGTCAATGCAATGCATAGCACTGATATTCATCTCCATGGAAGATGACATACTTCAAACTATCTTATTAAAAGTTAAACAAAATATTTTATCAAAAATTGGACGGAACAGACATTAAAAAGTGAAAAGGAGAAAGCTGACATTCAATTTAAAGTGAGTGCTGGCCTGCAAACATGAAATGTTTCCTTAGGTTTCTTCCGTGGTCAATTTTCTCAATCCTCACTGACACTCATAAGGCTTCGCTAATGTCTCTAGTGTGAACTTGAGCATGAGCTTCCAGTTCACATGACTGACCAAACCTCTTGTTGCAAACTGCGCATTCAAAAGGCTTTTTACCTGTATGGCTTTTGCCTATCTTTGTTCCATTCTTCACATCTTTCTCTTTCTCTTTGTGGGCTTTAATATGAGAATTCAGTTGACTCCTAAACCTGTACTTCTTGCCACATTGTGTGCACTCAAAAGGCTTCACTCCTGTGTGGAAATTTGCAACATGAGTATCAAGACCATGTTTTTGTGTAAACCTTGTATTACAAATTGTGCATTCAAATGGCTTTTCTCCTGTATGCACTCTAGCATGTTTCTTTAAACCAGATGGAAGACGGAACTTCTTTGAGCAAATGCGGCATTCATAACGCTTTTCACCTCTATGGAATTCAAGATGAGCTTTGAGATTTTTCATAACTTTAAACTTCTTTCCACAAATGCTGCACTCATGAGGCTTCTCCTCTGAATGGATAGTAGACATATGGTTCCTAAGATTACTTGTCTGACCGAACTTCCTATTGCAAACTTTACACTCGTAAGGTTTCTCCCCTGAGTGGATTCTTAAGTGTGCTCGAAGTTTTTGAGGTTTCATCATCTTACTACAGACATGGCACAAAACTGATCTCTCTCCTCTTACAGTCTTCTTCTTTTTCTGTTTCGGCTTGTTCTTGGCACTCCGAAGATCATCAGGGACGCCTGAAGGACCTGAAGGACCATAAACCAGGAGCAATGTAGTAATAATAACAAAACAAATTTTTTACTCAGAAGGCAAAAATGTATCACCATCACTTGGAGACTGATTGAAAGAGTTCTTAAGACTTGCAACATCATGAAAATTGTCCTTACTATCATTCTGGTCCGTCTTATCCTGGATGTGGGGTGCTGATGGCAGACAATGATAAAAATTATAACAACAAACAATTAACATATAGAGCAGTTGATTCTGACTAGAAAACTTTTTTATCAACCGATCTCCTAATGAAAGCTAAAAATAAACAACAAAATAAATTTTCAACTCACTGGGCAAACTTGAATTATCACTCTGTGACAAATTTACAGATTTCCTTTGATGATGGAAGTCATCATCATCTTGTTTAGTATCAGCCAACATGACGGGAGCTGCTGAGAAAATTTTTTCAATCAAGGATTGACATTTCAAGTGATCAATTAATTAATGCTCCAAAACAAAAGCATCATTTATACCATCAACATGAAGGGGGATTTCATGAACGTCAGAGGAGACACCTTTATCACCTAAATAGAGGACTATAAGTAAAAATCATAGTCCAAGAAATTTTTTAAAAGGTAATTAAGAAATTTGAGATCTACAGACCAGAACAGTTCGTGATCCTGCTGTTTTTTCGGCACATGACTAAACTCTCTCTTTTCAGAGTGTTATCCCCTTGCTTTTCCCCAGCTTGTGCCCTCAAAAGAGACCTTGACTGTTTAAACTTCTTATTGCAAACTTGGGGCTCATTGTCTTTACCCAGAACCTGGGGTCCTGTCAACATAGCAAATGAAGTTTGAGTTTATATTTGGCCACTAGAGCAATTTACCAATACTTAATATTAATCAGTTTATCAATGTCACCATCAAGGCAAAGATGGATTCTTTGTTGGTGGGTGCCATCAGGAACACGTTTATCGCCTGAAAGGAAAATGATAGATCAATAAAAGAGCCAAAAATGATAACAAAATGTAAAGTGAGCGCAGCGCTACTCACCTAGAGGATTTGAGATAACTACAACTTCTACATTCTTCTCTAAACTAGATATGATGTCTTTTATTATCTTGCACTTATCAAGAAACAGCATAACATCACATTTTGAAACCAGATCTGCAGCCTGAGCACACAGGCTCAAAAAATTGTCATATTTTTCCTTTTCTGACATTTTTTCTGCGCATTCATTCAAGGGAGGTGGTAGCAGTGTCGGGCTCTCCCCCGTTCCCCCGTCGCGCACCTCCTGGATACATAATTCGACAGCTGATAAGTCACAACAAGTGGCTAACGTCACTTCTAGACACAACAACTCACAGTAGAAGCTGGCCGAAGTTGCAGAGTAGGAATAGCACCAGGAAGTAGAACTTTCTGCCTTTTCCCAGGATGATTTTTCCAAAAGGCTTCGGGTGCAAAGTGCTGGCTACAAATCCTGACACTTGAAGGCGGGACCCAATTGGATCCCTTCCCTTTAAGCGCTTCCACCCAAGCTGGACGCCTCTCATCTTTAGGAATTCTAAAGAAAAGTAAGGATTGGTAAACAATAAATTTGATGCCAACAAATAAACAAGCCGGCAAAACCTAAAGTACAAAATTAAACACTGATACTTACGTGAAAAGCATCACCCCCTCAGGTCGCTTGGCATAGCTTACAGTGCAGCCTCGGACAGAGCAGGCACTCATGATAAAATCGTGGAGCAATAATCGCAAAATATCAAATATTCTGAAGAATTGAAGCGCCCATTCAAAAGCGCGCGTTGAGCGCTAGCTTGAGTCCAGCAGAGTGCCCATTTGAGTAGACAACCACAGCTAAGGAAAACTAGGGTTCACGTCTGAAACAATTAGAACTAAACCATTGAAAGCCAAATGCATGAGGACGCCGAAACCAGAAAACAACATGACGGAAACTAACCTCAGATAACTTGCTTTTGCGCCTTGCTACGTGTAAACAACGACGCCAGCGAGACTCCCTGTCGCAGAGTGTCCGACTGAACATCGGGGCGAGTGGGGCAGTCGTTTTTAAGAACAATCATGGACTTCGCTGCTCAACATTCCTTAAACAAAGTGAACTATACAATATTTCGGCATTTGAGAGCCGTCAGCCGTCACAACACTGCATTCACTCACATTATTGGCAGTACTGTCCGGCCCACCGACGTGCTATTCGCACTGTAGACTGATTCCGAGAGTCTACATCTCTCTTGCACCTACACGGAAAGCCCCATGAGTGCAAGAGAGAACGTGTGACCGCCCATACGGAGTGGGGGGAGGGCCGGGTACCGGGGAAGGACCAAGGCTCACTCTTCTACCTGTGCCTCATATATCTTTGGTAATCAAAAATTACTACGTGCCCTCCATTTTCCAAAAAAAAAAAAAAAATTAAGAGTAATTGAACTTGATGGGCCGGTGCCTGCGAGCAACCAATTTGAAGTTCCACTTGTCTCTCTTGCCTGTCTATGCTCTTGCACTCAGGGGCATCCGCCAAGGGTGCGGGAACAAAGTGGGAGCAAGGACGACTGAGTGGAGAGAAGCTCAGTGGAATTAGTCTATGGTGTCAATGCAATGCAGCCGGCTCCACCAACCCTAACAGCAGTCTTCGATTTTCTCGAAAATGTCGTATCAAGTGCGCCTCAATCTAAATTTTTGCTCACATATCCTTTAATTCTGAGTATTTTGTTTTCTTCAAACTCATACCGACAATGGTCAGAACGCCAGGACAAGCATCCGTTCCCGAGCCGAAGGCATTAATAGTTCTAACAGCCTCTGCCACAAGCGCCGTGTGGGCAGGCAACCCATTCGACACGTGCAACAGAACGCCACACACAAAGGCAAGGAGACGATCCTTGATCCTCCCTTCCAAGTGACAGGGAATGCCGCTCGAGGTGAATGCGAAAGAAAGACGCGGCGAAGGCGTCCACCGATGAGTTCATTGGGAACAATGGGGGCAATGGGAGGAAGATGGAAAATTTCTCTTTCTCCACCTAGGACTGTGCCGTTCGCCCGTGCGAGTGGAAAGAGGCTGTTTCAAGGTACACTTCAGAGTCAAAAGCTGGCTAAACCACGACCTTCAATCAAATTAGCTTCACTGTGATGATGCTCCACAAAAACAAACTTAGCGAGCTTTAAACAAGCTTAGCGTAAGGTTTTATTTGAACAATAGACATATACATGGATTTGACATTATTTTCCTCTTATTTTCCTCACCCCCTCCATTTACACCAAAATATTACCTACTTGGGAAAGAGTTGGGCTCAGCTGAAAATTTACAGCAAGCAATTAGACACAAATGAGATAGAAAATTTGAAAAAGGAAACTCACTGTGTCTTTGACTATGCTTTGACAGGTTCTATTGCTTTTTGAAAGTTTGTCACAGGTTAAAGTAAAACGAAATAACCAGAAATAAATAAAAGTTTTACAATATTTAAAATTAAAAAATTGAGGAATGAGGCACACACAAAAAGGTGAGTACAGAAATTCGATTTAACCTGGCCCAAGGGGCTTCTCCCGATATCAAATTCTAAAATGAGATCTGATAATGCTTTGCCAGAACGCACACAATTTGAAAGCCTATTTGGTATCATGAGTCACAAGATGTTTTCTTAGTGTGCTTCCTTGGGAAAATTTCTTATTGCACACTTTGCACTCATAAGGCTTTTCACCAGTGTGCACTCGAGCATGAGATTTGAGTTGACATGACTGATTAAATCTTTTGTTGCAAACTGGGCACTCAAATTGCTTCTCCCCTGTATGGGTTCGAATATGAGTTTGAAGATTACCCTTGAGGGTGAACCTTTTACCACAAGTAGTGCACTCAAATGGCCTCTCTCCAGTGTGGGTTCTAAGATGGGCTTGGAGACCAGAAGAGCTAGTAAGAAGCTTGTTGCAAATTGAGCATTTAAATGACAATACCCCATTGTGGATTACCTCGACATGTCTCCTCAGAATATGTTTGTTGCTAAACTTCTTATAGCAAGTTGAGCACTCAAAGGGCTTTTCACCCGTATATTTTTTCCTTTGCTTTGAATGGGCTTTAATATGAGCATTCAGCTGACTCCTAAATCTGAACTTCCTGCTACATTGTGTGCATTCAAAAGGCTTCACTCCTGTGTGGGAATTGGCAACATGAGAATCAAGACTATGTTTTTGTGTATACCTCATATTGCAAATTGTACATTCAAATGGCTTTTCTCCTGTATGCACTCTAACATGTTTCTTAAGATTAGATGCGTTACTAAACTTCCTCGAGCACAGCTTGCACTCATAAGGCTTTTCACCTCTATGGATTTGAAGATGACCTTTGAGACCTCTCATAGTACTAAATTTCTTTTCACAAATAGTGCACTTATGAGGCTTCTCCTCTGAATGGGTAGTCATATGGCTCCTAAGATTACCTCTTTGACTGAACTTCATATTGCAAACTTCACATTCGTAAGGTTTCTCCCCTGAGTGGACTCTTAAGTGTGCTCGAAGTCTTTGAGGTTTAATCATCTTACTACAAACATGGCACAAAACTAATCTATCTTTTGTTACAGCCTTCTTCTTTTTCTGTTCCGGCTTGTTCTTGGCACTCCAAAGATCATCAGGGACGCCTGAAGAACACTCAGAATCTGAGAAATCCTCTTCAAATACTGAAATAAAAAAATAAAAAAAAAAAGTTGATTCCAAGGTGCATTGCAGTGGCAACAACATTCCAAATTTCAAATTTTTGACTCACAAGGTGCATATGAATCGTCATCACTTGAAGCTAAATCATTAGAGTTTTCAGGACTTGTAACCTCCTTAAAATTGTCTGCATCATTATCATCCTCGTTGGTTTCATCTCTGTGGGTTTTATCCTGGTTGGTTTTACCCTGGTTGGTTTTATCCTGGTTGGTTTCATCCTTGATGAGGGGTGCTAAAAAATAAAAAATTGAAGTTGATTCCCAGGGCAGGTGCAATGCCGTAGCAACAACATTCCAAAGTTTTGACTCACAAGGTGAATCTGAATCGTCATCACTTGAAGCTAAATCAATAGAGTCCTCAGAACTTGTAACCTCCTTAAAATTATCTTCATCATTATCATCCTGGTTGGTTTTATCCTTGATGAGGGCTGCTGATGACGTAAAAAAAGATTACCTTTAGAATAGTCATTTCAAGTGATTAATCCACTGACACAAATTAAGGATACAGTATAGTGAAACTTTGATGTACTAGAAATATGTGTGACAGGAAGTTCATGAGACAAAGGAAAAGGTACCCAGTCTTCATTCTGGTAGTTAAACCTTCAAAAACACTTAAAAAAAAAAAAAGAGAGATTGCATTGGCACAATTGAAAGTATCAACCCAGTATAGGCTACAGTATTAACATTTGTTTACTAAGCTCTCTTTTATTTTTCTTCAGATTTGAGGTTTTTTGCCACATTTAATCTTTTTCTTTGTTTTTCAGGAAAACTAAGGGAGGCACTAAAAAAGGGCAATGCTATCTTTTTTCGGTGCCAAAGGGATGTTGTTAGAATTTACAGGCTCGGTACCTTTTCTGCTGCCATGAGGGGGAAACAACTTTGGGGGAAACAACTAAAAATTAATAAAATAACTCAGAAACAAAATAGAGGTGAAGCATCTCTCTTAGGATATGAGTTGATGCCATTGAAAAGACCTTTCACTAATAAATTGAGTTTTATGACACAAGTGTTTCTAAAAAGAATTAAAAAGTCACTTTTTTCTACTTAAGAAAAACAGTTTTTTACTGAAAAAAAAAAAACAAAGCAAAAAAACAAAAATATTTTCTACTCACAGGGCAAACCACAATCATCTTCAGTCTGTGATGAGGTAACAGAGATTTCTTGATTACTGAAGCCACCATCATGTCGTTTAGTATCAGCCAGAGTATGAGGAGCTGCTGAGACAAATTATTTTCAACAAGGATTGTCATTTGAATCAATTGAATCATATGAGATCAATAAACACTCCACAGCAAAAAAAAAATGCAATTTTACTATAAACTGAAAGGGGAATTTCATGGGCATCAGAAGTGACATCTCCATCACCTTAACATAAGACGGGATAAAAAACAAAATCTGCCCAAAATAAAAAAAAAAGATTAAAAACTTAATTTGAGGCTTACACACCTGTACCATTTGTGATCCTGCTGTCCACATGACTCGTATCATTCCTCACTCCTTTCACATTGTTTTCCGCTGGCTTTCCTCCAGCATGTGTTCTCAAGTGCACTCCAAGAGCACTTGACTGTTCAAACTTCTCATCGCAAACTCGGCACTCATAGGGTTTTACCCCTGTGTGGATTCTCAAGTGTAATCTAAGTCCTAGTGCTGTAGGATACAACTGATGGCAGATGACGCAGTGATACATATTTCTTTCATTGTGAGACGTTTCTTTTAGAGATTCTAGTCCCAAACTTGTGTTCTGAAACGTGTCAGAGACACCTGAAGTGTTTGAGGTGACTCTAACTTCTACATTCTTCTTCCAACTAGATATTATATCTTTCATCATCTTGCATCTATCCAGAAACTCCCCCCTGGCACATTTTGAAACCAGTTTCCCAGCCTTGGCACACAGGCGCAAAAATTCATTATATTTCTCCTCTTTTGTCAGGTGGTTTCCACTTTTCTTCCTTTGACTCAGGTTCGGTGCGATGGATGCAGGAAGAGCAACGTCACAGTCACTATCAGGATCATCAGGGTCGGAATGGCTTTCATCAAAAACCTGCCTCTTGGCCTTCTCCGTTGAAACACCAGGCCCTCCTCTTGGGGACCTCCGGGTGCTCAGGGCCTTGCTGAGCATGTTGACAGAAGCAGCGCGAAACTGGTAGACAAGTTGGCGACTTAAGCAGAGGGAAGCAGGATGGTTCAAACCTTCACATTCATTTTGAGTCAATAAGAGTAACCCAATCGTTAATTGCAGCTCCGGTTAACAACAGTTTTCATCTGAAACAATTAAAACAAACAGACAACTAAGCGTTGTTGAAAGGATGAGAGCCGAGGATGACTGTCTCTCTCGCACTTGTGGGGTAGCAGTGGCCTTTAGTCACCCGTCAAACTCTCTAAAGAAGGGCCATAGTAATGGCACAAGAAGAAGATCGCCGAAAACAGAAAACAAACTCACGAAAACTAACCTTGAATATCATGCTGTTGCCCATCGCTACATGTAAACAAAGGCGTCCAGCAAAATGCTCCATGGCAGAGCGACCGATTGGAATTGAGGGCAAACGGGCAGGTACTTGTTAAATTCAGTACGAGGCGATAGATCTCACGTCCCTATTAGAGCAATCCGAAAATTCCACAACTGATTTCAGCTTTTTACTGTGTTGTCACAAAATAAAGGTCCGTCTGCCTGCGCGCCGCCTCTGTTATTCGCAGTGCGAGAGGGAGGAAGGAAAATGGGGGAGGGGGGGAGAGGGGAAGAAAGTATGTGGAGGATGGGTAGTTTCAGAAAATTAAATCAATGGGGACAATTGATATTATTTTAAGGGGACTATGACTGCTTCTGCATCAGCCCGAAGACGCTGATCTCTTGCCATAGAGGCGGGTGACTTTGGGTGACTTGGATGGCAGGTTGAAACAGAATTGTTGCTTTAAAGTTACTCGAGAGTGTATTTGACAGGTTCCGAAAACAAACAGTTGCGCATGGCCAGACAATCAATGCCATAAAACACACATGAGAAAACTAGCACAAGCTGGGTAAGAGGGTAGAGACAAATTTTCTTCAAATTTTTATTTAACAATAAAATTAGAAAAGAGAAAAAAAAGGGGGGGATGAATTTAGGGCACTCCAATGAGTACCAAAATTTACGCAATTATTAAATAGCTACAAATCAAGACAAGTATAAGTTTCTATCAGTTACATCAAATTAATTAAAAGCGATTCTTTTCCCTCCCTAGATGGTATTTTTTTAAATGATCAGTCCTGTAGGTTTGGTACATGAAGATGATAGGTCCATTTTTTTCGGTCAAAAGACAAGATCTAATACTGCCATACATCTGATTGCAAACAAGGCATTCAAAGGCCTACTTTGGTTCATGAGTTTTAAAATGTTTCTTGAGAGTACTTGATTGTGTGAACTTCCTATTACAAACAGTGCACTCATAAGGCTTTTCACCTGTGTGAATTCTAGTATGCTCTTTGAGCTCACATGATTGATTGAACCTCTTTTTGCATATTGTGCACTCGAAAGGCCTTTCCCCTGTGTGTCTTCTAAGATGCGTTTTAAGATTAGCTTTGAGGCTAAAACGCTTGCTGCACACTGTGCACTCAAAAGGCCTCTCCCCAGAGTGAGTTCTAAGATGCGCCTGGATATTACTGAGAGAACTTATCTTCTTCTGGCAAATTGGGCACTCATATGCCTTTTCCCCAGTATGGATTCTAAGATGTTCTCTGAGAATATGTTTATTACTTAACTGCTTTTTGCATATTGGACATTCCTGAGGCTGTGGTTTCTTTTTTTTACCTTTATAACCAGGTTTATTGGCAACATGAGTATTATCATGATGATTCTTCAAGTCAATGCTTCTACTGTACTTTTTACCACACAATGTGCACTCAAAAGGCTTTTCTTCTGTATGTTTATTGGCAACATGGGCTCGAAGAGTATGTTTTCTGGCAAACTTCTTCTCGCAAAATGTGCACGTATAGAGTTTCTCACCAGTATGGGTTCTAATGTGTCTTTTGAGATTGGCTTTGCCTCTGAACTTCATGGAACAAATAGTACACTCCTCTGGCTTTTCCCCCTGGTGGGAGAGAAGATGATACCTCAGAGCACTACTTCTATTAAACTTCTTGTCACAAATAGTGCATTTCGAAGGCTTTTCTCCAGTGTGGGTTCTTATGTGAGTTCTAAGGTTACCACTCTGCGAGAAAGTTTTATCACAAAAATGGCACATGTAGGGTTTTTCTCCCGTATGAGTTCGTAGGTGTGAGCTGAGTGATTTTTGTGCAGTAAACATCTTGCTGCAGATGTGGCACAAAAATGTCCTTTTTTCTTTGGGAGCATTACCCTCACTGGGCTGTTCATGGCCTTGAAGATGATTTCTTAGATGGATCTTTCTATTATACTTCTTACCGCAAACAGCACATTCATAAGGCTTTTCTCCAGTATGTGTTCTTTTATGAACTGCAAGAGCACTTGATTGTCGATACTTCTTATTGCAAACATGGCACTCATAAGGCTTTTCCCCTGTATGGGTTCTTAAGTGTAATCTAAATCCGAGTGCGGTAGTCAACATCTTAGAACACATGGTGCAAGGGAACATAGTTTTTCCTTCGTGGATAATCTTGTCCGGTTTGGGTTGAATATTCTTATTACGCACATTATTAGATTCATCTGAAGAGCTCTCAGAATCCGAGGACTTGTCACCAACAGCTGCAATTACAAGAATAGAAGTTGATTTCCAGGTGTCATGCAATGCAGTCCTAACAATATACCAGATTTTTGACTCACAAGGTGAATATGAACCATCATCATCACTTGCAGCCACATCAATAGAATTCTCAGGACTTTCAACTTCCTTAAAATTGTCATTATTATCATCATCCTGGCTGGTTTCATCCTGGATGTGCGGTGCTGATGACAAAAAAAGACAAAATAATCAAATTAGTTTTAAAATTGGCATTTAAAGCACATCCATACTGCTTCAAAAACTATTTTACGAGTCCCTCTACAAGTAACAACTAGAAATACACAACACACTTTCAACTCACAGGGCAAATGTGAAACATCTTCACTTTGTGACAAAGTTCTAGAGTTTTCTTGACAATTGATGTCACCATTCTCTTGTTCAGTATCGACCACGATGTGAGGAGCTGATGAGAAAAATGATTTCCAATAAGGATTGGCATTTCAAAGAGATCAATAATTACTCCATAACTAAACCATTAATTTTACCATCAACAACAGAAAGGGAAATTTCCTCGATGTCAGAGGAGATATCTCCATCACCTAAACAGTAGACTTGAGATGAAAAACATAATCCAAGAATTTCAAAGAAAAGAGAAAGAAAAATAAGGGGTTAACGCACCTGAAGTATTTGTTATCCTGCTATCAATGTGGCACATAACCGACCTCTCTGCTTTCAGAGTGTTCTCCCCTGCCTTTTCATCATGTGTTCTCAAATGAACTCCCAGAGAGCTTGACTGTTCAAACTTCTTATTGCAAACTTGGCACTCAAAAGGCTTTTCCCCTGTATGGATTCTTAAGTGTAATTTAAGTGCTAGTGGCGTAGTTAACATCTTACTGCACATGGTGCAAGAAAACATCCTTCGTTCTTGGATAGTATTTTTCTTTTGGTTGCTTTTATCCTGGATGTTGGGTGCTGTCAAAGTACGAAATAAAGTTTGTATTTACATTTGACCATTGAGGCAATTCACCAATAACAACTATTTCATTAATGTTACCATCAAGGCAAAGAGGGGCTCTCTTTTTTTGGGTGCCATTAGGGACATGTTTTCCACCTGAAAAGTAAACTAAGGATTAAATAAAAGAACACACAAAATGATTACAAGATATAAATTGAGTTCGGCACACCTGAAGTGTTCTGGACGACTTCAACTTCTATATTCTTTTCCCAACTAGATATAATTTCTGTCATTATCTTGCACCTTTTGAGAAGCTGTTCGCCAACACATTGCGAAACCAAATTCCTAGCCCTTGCATACAGGCACAAAAATTCTTCACATTTTTCTTCCCTTGTCATTTTTTGCCCACTTTTATTCCCTTGAGTCAGGTTTGAGGGGACGAGAGGAGGAGGAGCAACATCACAGTCACTATCAGGATCATCAGGGTCTGATTGGCTTTCGTCAACGAAATGCCTTTTCGACTTCTCCGATGAAACCCTAAGGCTTCCTGTCGCAGACCTCCAGGTTCCTGGGGCGTTGGTGAGCATAGCGAGAGAAGCAGGAGAGGAGGACGAGGGTGAAACTGATAGGGGATTTGGCAACTTCATGACATGGAGAATAATTTAAGAATGTTCATGGTTCATGAGGAGGAAGCAAGATGGTTCAGTCTCCAGCACATCTTGATTCTGACGGAGGTTCACCCACGAAAAACGGCAGTTCAAGTCTGAAACAATTAAAAACGAAACTAAATGCATGAGATCGACTAAAACAGAAAACAACAACACGAAAACTAACCTCGTTTATCATGCTGCTGCCCTTCGCTACATGTAAACAAAGACTTGCAACCGCAGAGTTAGAGTTCCGGCAACTCGGAGTGAGTAGGGCATTCGTTCACATGTACAACCAGGGATTTCACTTCTTTCATTTTTAATTAACAGGAACTCAGATATGTAAACAATTTTCTCCACAGGCTTCGAGGAAGGGGAAGAGGGGGAGGGAGGGGGGGGGGATTGCCAGTGCCACAGGATTGGTCGGCCAGTCGTGGTCCATTGGCGCTGTTTATTCGAAATAAGTCACACACCAGCTAGGGGAGTGGCGCCAAGACAGAGAGACAAAATGCTTTTGCGTCTCGGAGAGTGACTATAAAAAAAGCCGAGGCACTTCAAAGAGTGGAAGAGCCTCGTATTGGCAAAGAATGAGGGAATTTGGTTGTGAGTCGTGTGTTGGAATGTTGCAATTGTAATCCCTGGGCGAACTTATTAGTGGAAAATGCTCGCAATATCCAAGTCTCGCCGGCCGAGAGCACCCTTTGTGTGTGTTCTGTTGGTTCTTGGCCAAGTACCAAGAATCGGGTTTTTCAACAACAACACCAACAACAAAAATTGGTCCAAAGAGCAAACAATTATATTTTTATAGACTTTAGTGTGTGTGCACAAAGTGTTGATCAGGCTGCCTCATTACTTAGCCAAAGGCCTCTTTCCACAATTTCCTTTTTAGATCTACCGTCCATTTTTTTTTTATGGAAAGTTTTGGTCAAAGACTATGACTGAAGGGCAACAAACTAAGTCTTTTTGTTTAGTTCATCTGTAAGTTTATCTCACCACAGACTTATATATATTTTTTAAAATTTGAGCCCACATAAAAAAAAGCCATAAGGAAGTGCTCTGTTGGAATGGACACAATCAACAAGTTACATACACATACCAAATAAATTCCTTAAGCCACACAGCCAGAGACAAGCAGGGGGGCAAGCACCTTGAAAAATTAAGAATAAGTTTATGCTTGTTTAATTAAGGAACAGGTACAAAAAAACATTGTAAGGGTGTTCTTTTATATTGCTTCCACATTTGACTGACCACATTTTTATCATCACAGGTTCTGTAAATCTCCCCCCCCCCCCAAAAAAAAAAAAAAAAAAAAAAAAAAACTTTGATTCAACCTTACTGAAAACGATGTTTGAGATCCTACAAGGTGAGGTGACCCTACTGTAAATGCTATTTTCTAGTAAACGGTACTTAGCTGATCATTGTTTCAAGTTACAAAGCAAAAAAAATTGACAAGAACGTATATTTGAGAATTTATTAAGAGAAACTTTCCTCAGGTATCACAGAAAAACGTATGGGAATGAAGGTGTGCACCAAAAGCCCCTTGTGACAAGATATAATAAAAAACATTCAGGAGACCGTTTCTTCAGGGTTTTCAAAGCATATTTAACAGAGGTCACTAGAAACAAACGTTGAAAATAACTAGAAATTTCAGCTGAAAAATGAAAAACTTTTGATAATTATTGCCAAGTTTTGACTTAAAAGCTCTGAATACGGTGAGAGGGAATTGAAATACAACTTCCGTGCTAAGTAAGTTTGATAAAGGATAAAATTTTACCCCCGAATACCCAAGGGCACATTTCTTTATTCAATATCTTGTCACTAGGAAGAAAGAACCAACCACAAAGTATTGCAAAAGTTTAACAAAAAATTGCTGAATTAGCTGCCATTTGCAATGCATGGTCTCTTAGAATGTGATTACTGATAGGGGAGGTCTTTTATGACAAAATGTGGCAAAGAAGTATTAGGGATGGGTATAGGGATTGAGAATGCAAAAACTATAAATAGACAAAAGTGGTAAAACTATAATGATATTTCAGTGGGGTCTCCCCTTAATGACCATGGAAAATCCTGAATACTGTCTTACAATGTGTTCCGACATTGTGATGCTGATATAATAATTTCACTAGACAACACACTGAAAACTGTAAATACAACGGCCTACTTCGCTTCATGAGTTTGAAGATGTTTTCTTAGTGTACTTCCTTGAGCAAACTTCTTACCACAAACTTCGCACTCAAAAGGCTTCTCTCCGGTATGAACTCTGGCATGAGCTTTTAGTTCACATGATTGGTTAAACCTCTTGTTGCAAACTGGGCACTCGAAGGGCTTTTCTCCTGTATGAGTTCGAAGATGAGTCTTGAGATTAACGTTGGTGGTGAACTTTTTATCACAAACTGAGCATTCAAAACTTCTCTCCCCAGTATGGGTTCTGAGATGGATTCGGAAACCAGAAGGACAAGCAATTTTCTTTAGGCAAACTGAGCACTGGTATGGCTTTTCACCAGTGTGGGATACTGCAAAATGTTTCTCGAGACTGTAGTTGCTACTGAACTTCAAATTGCAAATGTAGCACACCTGAGGGCGCCCAGTTCCAGGTCCTCTTACCCTTTTTTTCCCATCTTTCTTTTCCCCTGTCCCACAATTTTTAAGATGAATTCTAACCTGATCCTTTCGACAGTACTTCTTACCACATTGTGCACATTCAAAGGGTTTTTCTCCTGTGTGCCGACTTCTAACATGACCTTCAAGATTATGTTTTTGAATAAAACTCATATCACATAACGTGCACTCATAAGGTTTTTCTCCGGTATGAATTCTTGTATGTTTTTTGAGATCATTTTTATGTTTGAATTTCTGCAAGCAAATAGTGCATTCATAAGGCTTTTCACCTGAATGGAACCGAAGATGAGCACGTAGATCAGTGCCTCTAGTAAACCTTTTGTCACATATCGTGCATTCATAGGGCCTGTCTCCCGTATGGGTTCTCATATGAGCACTAAGAGAACCACTTTGCCTATATTTCCTATTGCAAACTTGGCACTCATAAGACTTCTCTCCTGTATGAGTTCTTAGGTGCCTTTTCAGTCTTTGTCGGTTAACAAACATCTTGCTGCAGATGTGGCATAAAACCGACTTGTCATTGTTAGTTTCTGTTTTTGACGGTTCCTGTTTGTCATTTTCATCCCAGAAATCATCAGGGTCAAGTGAAGAACTCTCAGAATTTGAAGAATCATCCTCATGAGCTGAAAATAATACAATATCAGTTGATCTCCAGCAAGATCAAACCCTGATACAAGAAAATTTAAGATATTCAACTTACATGGCAAATACAAATCATCATCACTTGTTGTTAAATCAATGGAGTTCTTTTGATTATCAGAGTCATTATTGGCATCTTGTTTGGAACCTTCCTGGACAAGAGGACCTGGGAAAATGCAAAAGGAAAATAAGTATTAGAATTGGCATTTAAAGATATGAATCAACTGCTACCACATAGATGTTACCATCAAGGCAAATAGAGAGAACATCTTTGTTGATGTCAGTAGAAACACATTCTCCATCTGAAAATAAAGACTGAGAGTAAGAAAACAATACAAACATGCCAAGAAATACATGATGCAAATTTTGGTCACCTTTAGAGTGAGGGACAACTACAACTTCTACATTCTTCTGCCAATTACTTATTATATCTTCCATAATCTTGCACCGTTGAAGGAACTGCCTGGACCCACATTGTGAAACTAGACTCTCTGCTAGAGCACAGAGACGCAAAAATTCAGTGGATTTTTCATCCTGTGTCAAAATATCCTTGCTGACGTTTGTGGGACTAGATAAGGGTGACACAGGAGGAGCAACGTCACAGTCGCTGTCACTGTCAGGATTATCAGGGTCAGAGAGGATTTCATTATTCGGCTCCCTCTTCAGCTTCTCGATGACAACGTTAATGCTCTGTGTAGAGGACCTCCGGGTGCCCATGGCCTGCATATTGACTGCAGCGGAGGAGGACGAGGGCGAAACTGGCATTGGGGTTGGCGACTTCATCAGGAGGAAGCGAGATGGTTCAGCTCTTTGAACACATCCTGTCAGTGTCCTCCAATGCGTTGGCAACTGCAGCTCTGGCAAACAACAGCTCACGTCTGAAACAATGGGAACAAGAAGAAAATTAAACCGCAGTGTTACAGAAAAGCGATCGAGGCAAATAGAAAATAGCATAAAAGAAACTAACCTTGTACATCGAGACGTTACATGTAAACAAAGGCGTCCAGTGAAACGCTTCGTCGCAGAAGTCCCGTCTGGAGCGCGAGGAAAGAAGGGCAGTCGTTTGGGGAACACTCCTGGACCTCACTAACACAGTTTAGCGAATAAACTAAAACATACGGCAAAATAAATCCAGTTTACAAGTCCTCCTGTTCTCCCTCAACCACAACAACCACAAGCAAGTCTATTCGCACCTCGCAGTCCTCGCACCACCAACCGACTAATCGCACAATCGCCCTCCTGATTGGCCGCCGGTGCCGGGTGGGAGGGAAGGGGCGAAGAAGGGAGGGGGGGGGAGGTAGAAGGGGTGGGTTGGTGTGGCGGCGGGAGGTTCAAATAGCAGCCTCACTTGCTGGGTTGTGTGGGCACATTTTAGAGCAGTCCGCCAGACGGTTCGAATCTGCTGGTTCACCTAGGAGGCCTGCCCTTTATCATAATGGAACTTCTATAGTAATCTGAGAGTCGTGTCTCATGTTCTGAGCGAGCATGGAGACCCACCCCTTTTGTGTTCTTCATTCTGGGTGCTTCACTGGAGCCCGAAAATAGCATCTGCAGACGTTTAAAATTACTGGTTTTGGATAGCTTGCGAATGCCCTCTTGCAGGCCCTTGTTGAAAAATTTTGATTGGCAGCACACCTTTTGGTAAACGCTCCAAAGGCCGTGGTCTTAGATCCAGGATTTTAACCAGGCTGAGGTGCATATTTAGTGCACTTCTAAAAGCCACCCACAAATTAAATTCCCTAAAGTAGTACATTTTTTCCACCAAAAAAATTCAAAGGCATGGGAATAAAGATTAAAGAAAGCCCCTGCATTAGTTTACTTGGGTTTTATTTGCTACTAAACATTCAATCAGAGGACATTTCTCTGCTACATTGAAAATACATAAAATTCTCAGTAAAAATAGCTTTGAGTCAAAGCTGAGAACCAATACATCATCACTTTCCTATAGAAAATGTTTATAAGTAGAAAATCTTACAAAAGGAAGGAAATTAAACAAATCATAGGAAAGAAAAAAATTAAATATAAGATGGTATGTCTTAATGCTATTGAGTCTTGTTTTCTAGAGTGGAAACTTTTGTACTGAAAAATTAATAGAAAAGCACAATAAATCATTCAATGTAGCACTATACAGAGTAAGTTCATATTATTAAAATGTAAAGGAACTAGGCTTATATTCCGAAGTGCTTACATGTAATGGGTCATGTCAAAGCTTATGCCATGTCCGAGATCACTTTCAAGTAACTATTTAATTGAAGACAACTCTAATACCAAAAAGCAATTTGTGAAAAAATATTGTCAAACCTTATTTTCCTGAAAGCATATATCAAATGATATCATACCACCATAATATGTGACCAACCAGGAATTTTGGAGCTTAGCCAAACAATATTTTTACACCCTGTACATAAAACACTATCTTACAACAGCAATTTCTTTATCTACCAAGAAATAAACCACAAACACATTAGATGCATGATACAGCTCAGTGGAAAACTTAAAGCTAACACACTTCATAATCAATACAATAATTGAATTTCTTACGAGGCTTCTATCCCTGAATATTTTGATTTGACAGCCAGGCCCAGATAAATTCAGCCTTATCATATATGAACACACAATTTTACCTTAACAAATATTTATCACAGACCAATATTGCTATAAATGGGGACACCACAAAAATAGAAAAGCACTAGTTTCAGAGGTCAAAGAAAACCAGTGACATAGAGTTTTATTACTAACCCTATTGTATTCAACCACTTTGTAGTACGTATAACAAAATGCCAGAAGTACAAGGTCAACATTATCAATATGATTTTTTTATACCAATTTGAGCGGGTTTTCAAATAGCTTTCTGAAAGGGCAACCAGTCTTAGCAAAAATGCTAATATTGGAAAACATTAAACATAGAAAAAAAAACCCTAAGAGATAATGGTCCTACTAATCAGTCAAACTTAGAACACATAACATGCATTCATTAATTATTCATTACTTGATTTACTTAGCAAGTAAAAGCCAGCAGCATGTATATGTGCAGCTCTCACTGTTTAAATGTAATTCAACTTTCTCCATGATGTTGAGGGATACAGCTCGCCACGACAGATAAGCTGCAAATCCCAATTTTTCGCCATTATTTCATGCATTAACTCCATTAGTTGCCGTTTAGGGATTCTCCATAAATTAAGGTCTCCTAGGAGCCTGAGCTGAGGACAAGCTTGAGCAAGAATGTGAACACTGACAAATGATAGATTGCACCATTGTACCATTGTGGAGTTGGATACAGTAATATTCAAACGAGTTAACTGTGGTGGCATTATTCGCTCATTAAGAGCTGATGATATCAATGCATCATCCAGTTTTTCTTCATCCAGTGGTTTGCTTTCCATTATGACCTGAAAGAATGAGAAAAGTTCAAATTTAGCACACACACTGAGAAATACTATACCGATAATGTTAATGAGAATCTCAAACTAATCTTGTGGAAAATTTTAAAAAATTACCTCCAATACCCGAAGCTTTTGAGTATGCACAAGTAGCGAGCGAAAAGTGTCTTGATTTGAAATTCGCACACGGCAGGTATGGAGGGAAGGCAACAATTTGAAGGCCTTTTGTCTGCTTCCTGAGCACCAAGTACCATTAAGTTTGGCACTCAACTCCTCGAGTCCTGGACACAGCTCTCCAATTATTGCCAAGTCAACAGCATGCACCTTGTTTCAAAAAATTAAAGTTGATCAGAGGGACTCTCCAGATTGGTTGAAGCTCACATTGAAAACCTGCATTACCTGATCAACCAGCACAAGTTTCCGGAGCATCTGAGGAATTACTCTGAGAAATCTTTCCAGAGAATGAGAAAAATCAATGAAGTCAAAATCAATAGTAAGAGAAGAAAGATGAGGGAAGATGTTCAATGTGGGTAGCCATGTTGCTCGAGTATACAAGCTTGACAGATTGGGGAGGGCTGGACTCAAAACAGAGGCTTTCAAGGAGGGCATGTGAGTATCCCATAATTCCGTCAAAGCAAGCCGGAGAGTATTCTGAGACTGACGCAATAGAGAAATAATGGCTTCACCAACACTCCTGTAATAATAATAAATGTTTGGAATAGAATAACTCAGCCTTCAATTGAACTTCAATAGAACTTTGATGAAACCTTACCTGTAGTAGATGAATCCACCCAGTGAGCGCAAATTCGGAACAAAGAGCAAGAGTAAAGCCACCCCTATTTCAGAAGTGTTTGTGTCCTGAATTCGGACTTCTTGCAGAGTGGAACAGCAGAGATTCACACCAGCATGAGGGTCACCAAACGCATGGGAAATTGACCACATTGAAGTAAATATAGTTTCAACTGTATCCAATGCATCAGATTCGAAATAGCATACATCAGGATTCTGAAAAGGACAGTCAGATTTCAATGCCAAATTTTCAAGTTAAGAATTAATTTTTTTAAAAAATATTAAGAAAGAGTTAAGAAAGATAATTGACCTGAAGTAGTAACTGTTGCAAGCCCCTATCATCCACAAGCCAAGAGCTGCTCACATCCAAGTGTGTTAAATGAACAGCATACTGACCAAGTAGATGCAGTGTTTCATTGTCACACACAGAGTGGAGGACGAGGGTATGGAGAGAAGAAGCCAAACCCCGCCGCAATACCCTATGAAGGGCAAAATTCCCAGGAGACAGACTCTCAATGCCTCCCCTGTAAGAATTTGGCAGTGGAACCTGTGGATGTGAGACAAGAAATTATTTCAAAGAACTTATTGTCTCATCTCTCCAAATTTGAGCTTCACCCAAAATGCAGGCTATGGATTATATTCAGAGAAAAATGAAACACTTCTCTTACCTTCACAAGAAGCTCCTGCAGACCAACTGTGTCATATTCATCAAAATATTCAAATAGACGTGCACACTGATCAGCTCTGAGCACAGTATTCTCATCTCCAGCAGACAAATCCAAGCGCTTTATAGATTTATCTAACAACACTCGTAAGAGGTCCAGAAGAATGAATACATCGCTGGAACTTAAAGAAATGGACATGTTATAATATTACAGTCCAACAGGTTTATTCTTCTATTGTTCTTTTCAAAAAGACAAAAAATGTTAATACCTGCAATGTTTTGTGGCAATGTCTATAAGATTTTGTCTGATACCACGATGAAATGAAGATTGCAAAAATGCCCGGAGCGACTCCACAGAATCAGGATTTTGACGAACTAGGCAACGCAGATGGTTAAATATCATCAATAGACATGTTTTGTAAAGAGATTGCACAGGCACTAGTGGAGGCATGATATTTTTTCCTGGATGTATGAAGGAATCACTCCAGGGAAGCAATTAGTGCCAGTCCAGATTCCATCTGCGTAAACAGGAACAAACCAAAACCTGGAATAAAATTAAATGAATTTAGTACGATACATTTACATCCCAGATTTCCATCACTCAGGATACACAGCATCAGGCAGCAATTATGAATGAATTCCATCAACCTGCCAGAAGCTTCCAAAGAGAACAGAGCATAAAAAGAAAGGAAAAACGCCGGGGCGGGTGGTTAAAGCCCTTACCTCACAGAAGGCCCAACTTTCTCGCGTAATCCCTTTTCATGGTGCCTCCTGACCACCGGCTGGGAAGGCCTCCATATCCATCAAGACAAAGAGGGTTTGTCGGCAACTCATTTTGCCGTCGCCAAACGCCAGGAGCCGAGCGCGCAGCCTCGTATTAACCTCTAACTGCTAAGGGCCAACTGTAGAGATGTCCTGCACGTCCCATAACTCAAAATAAGGAAATGCCTCGGGGATTTGTTTGGAAGGAAACTGAGTACACTCCGCCCTGGTGTGTACGCACTCAGGCATCCGGTGTGGTGCTTGGTGGTGCTGTCGGCTGTCGGGTCGCTGCTCCCCGATCCGGTCAATCAGCTGATGCCTGGAATGTTTTGGAGTTTTGACAGGACAACAGCGAGCCAACAGCTGGTCGGAGATGGTCACAACTCAGAAAAGCAGTGAGATGATGGCTTTAAAGATGGGTTTCACTTGAAGACTAGAGAAATTGATCGCAAAATCCACGTAGAATGAAGCTATTAACAAGTTAAAGCCCGAGTTAAAAGGAAAGCAGCAGACTGCAGCGAAGTGGCAGTATGAGAAATTTGGCGTTCCGCTTCAAGCACCTAGAGTCCTAGTCCTACAGTGGACTCTAAGGCAATAAAAAGTGATACCGCTGGTGATTCCGAAATTTTGTTTCATTTGGATCGAATAATTTTGTCAAGGTCTATTGCAATTATTTCATAAATTAATATGTCCTTTGGAGTGAATATTAAAAGTGTATGAATTCTAGCAAGAAGCCATGATGGCCATCAGGGAATGACAGATTGAAAACAATTTTGTTTCTGGGCAAGATTCTGTACTAGTCAGTAATACTTATCCCTGATCCTAATTTTCAACAGATAAATGCCAACTTAAAAAAATTATAATGGAGTGGATTGAGCCATTTGGATATTCTTTTTCATGGATCTATGGATACCAGTACGGCACAAGTTCCAAGCATGCTCGACCTTTAACACTTCTGTGTGTCTGATACTGACCCCTTGGGGCATAAATAAATGTGTTTCAAATCATCTACTTTCTTGTATGGTTGATCTTGATGGGAATTAAAGAGGAAAGGAGGAGATACAGTAACAACATTACATTGGTCATGAAAGTTTAAGTTTTATTATTATTATCATTATTTGATTCCAAGCCATCTTAACGGGTACACAAAATGTTGTCTTTTCTTTTGCATTTAAAAAAGGGTGAACATTGCAAATCAAAAATGGATACTTGTGGTAGCAATAAAAAGCAAAGCAAAGGAATTTGCACGGATAACACAAATTCACTCTTACTTAATGCAGTGCTATATAATTCCATACATTAATCACTATCAAAACATGGCATAGAATCTCAAAAATATTAATAATTGTACAATATATACATCAACAGGGACAAAAAACGTTTATCAAGGTTATTGCACTTGATATAAAAGAAAACAGAGGCAAACATTGAACAATAAAAGATTCAACTTTGGGCTTCAACTTTTGTAATTAACTGGAAAACCTACAGCATAAATAACATTGACTACGAATTTTCTGTGCAGAGTAACAAGAAGCTATTCACATGCACAAGAAAATAACAAGTTTTTAAGACGCTACAAACATTTACTCGGCGAGGAGCCCAGGGCCCATCACCAGAGTGCCTAAACTTAAGGTAATAGTTCTTTTTACATGGTATTTACATAGCAGTCAAAATATTTAAATAGAGAGCTCCAAGTCCTAGTAAGAAGAAAAGATAATAGAAAAGCTGCAGAATCCTTTAATCCCTGTATCTGTGTCAGTCAGTCGGCAATCCCATTCTGTTTAACTGTACATAGATTAAAAATGTTACTCTCTTGCATAACAAAATAACACTATACAATCTGAACAATTTACAACACAACTTAAATCAAGTAATGAGGGTGTTGCCATTCTCGTGTGGCCTTACTTGTATTTGGTACGATTAATGATTAGTTTAGTAATCCATTATCATGATTAGAAACAGATTTCAGGTAATTCTGACAACAGTTGCACAGCATTTAGTACTCTCCCTCAAGTTGGTTTCATACGCAAGTACAATGCAATGTTACAAGTTGTTATTCACTCCTTTTTTATTTTAGTTCTCAAGAGCAAAGAAGTTACAAATTTCTACTCAGTAGTACTTTTAATGGATGAGGAGTATATGCTGCCATTGGCTAGTGGTTATTAAGGCTACAATTGTACAACATTCATAGGTCGTCCTATTATCATTGGTCGCTTCTCACTATTTCTCAAGTACTTTTATACTTTATTAAAAAAGTAGGAGCTACTTAGAAAGAAAAAGAGGTCGAACATACATACAACAGACAGGGAACAATTATAGCACAAGGCATAAAAATATATCATTCATCCAAGTGATCCAACAAAAGGAATAACTTTGGAAATCAAATGAATAGATTACTCACCATGAATTAACTCAACTACAAAAAAAATAAAAATATTGAGGCATTGCGGGACTACATAAAAGCTACAGCTACGGCCACATCACAGCCTAGTACTTCAAAACTGAAATACTGTTTAATCTTTGCAAATATCTTATGGCCAAATGAGAAAAAGAAATCATCGCTTTCTTTAATTTTAATTGCAACAAATTACAGTTACAAAACTAGAGATAACTAGAAGATCAAAGTAAAGGCAATGCAACAGGGAAATATAAAGCCTGCTCACCTAATGGAATGTAATGGGAAGGTACATTGCACATTTCAAAAAAGTCACAGTTATACTTAAACAAATTTATAAATTATGATATATACAAACTTTGTTAAGTGTAACTCCATAGCTTTAACAGAAAGAGAAATGAAGAGAGGAATGCTAAACTGGTGGCAAGGCCCAAAGCGTGGCAGTTTTGTCAGCACTGGTGCTGAGGAAGGAGAACTCTGTTGGGTGCCATCGCCCTGAGATGACCTTATCGGCGTGTTGTGCGACGACCACACTTGGAAGGGGCATAGTCAAGTCACCTGCACAATAAAAAAGATTAGGACTCAGTTGATCTTTACAACAACGCATTTGATTGGCTACCAATATTATAAATGATATTATACACACCTTGAAGGTCAGTGAGCACAAGTTTATTGTCGTATCCAGCTGTAAGTAAGTAGTAAGCACTTGGAGAGAACCGAATTGACCGGATGTCTGATGCATGAGGCTTGAAGCATTGCACAGTTCGTCCTCCTCTCACATCATAGAGAACGCAGGATGCATCTTCATGGCCAGACACAAGGAGGCGGCCAGACGGATCCATACAAATAGCAGCAACTGGGGATCCCACCTAGAAAAAAATTAAAACAAAAAATTAGAAAAACAAAAAGAAAACAACCAAAACAATAGAATGCCAACACCCAAATTGGGACTAATAATAAACTGGAAAATAATAACGTACCCTGCTTCCAGGCTGTGTCTGTGGTGCAACCATGTCTACGCAGCCTCTGGTGCGCAAATCCCAAAACCGGACAGTTTTATCCTGTGATCCACTGACAAACATGGCACCGCCCCAATTGTAAAGAGAGAGTATATGCCCTGCAACACATATAAAAATAGAATGAGATTTCTTAATAAACAAATAAAGTGCCAAAAGAAGGTAAAACATTCACAAATCGTAAAACATACCTGAGTGCCCACTAAGAGCTTGGTAAGGTTGGCCAGTTGCACAGTCAGTGACATAAATTTTACAGTCGCCGGCACCACCACTGATCAGCAAGCTTGACTTATTACTGGTATCTTCAAGGAAGCACACGTCGCGAACTGTGCCATCATGCATGGTCAACTCTATTTCTTGTCCTGCAAAATAAGAAAATGGGTAGCAATTAGTTAAGCAACCTATAAAATAGATAACATAATAGAAACTGCAAATAATTTTCATATTTACCTTCTAAGTTGGAGGTGTCTGCATTAAAGCGCATTAGTTTCACCGTCTTGTCGTTTGAACCAGTGGCCATCAAGTCACCAACCGGAGACCAAGCCATACAGTAGATGGATCCCTTGTGATGCCTTGTTCGCTTGAACAGCACAGTTGGTTGGTATGTGACATGGTCCTCCCTAAAATGAACAAATCGATTAGAACAACTATTAATAGAACACTTAAACAAGAGGGAAAAGTACAAGTACTAGAGTAAAAGGGTCATTCAATCTCTACAAACTGAACAGTAAGCATGGCACACTCCACCTGGAGCGTGCCCGCATGCACACTTCAACGAGTAGTGAGCTTGGATGTACACTGGTCCCCAACAGTGTGACTGCATGCTGCTGCAAGGCGCACGCTTAGGAACAGTCTGCATCCAAGCACACAGCTCGTTGAAGTGTGCATGCGGGCACGCTCCAGGTGGAGTGCGCCAAGCACACTGTGCAGTAGGCCCGAAGACCGGTGGAGTCGGCCAAAACTCTGGGATTCGAACCGAACGTGTGACCCCACCATAATGGACTCCTAAGTTCAGAAAGCAATCCATCGGCGGGGTCACACGATCGGTTCGAGTCCTACTCATCGACTATCGAGCTCAAAACGCGTCGAGAGTTCAGGCCGCGCTCCACCGGTCTTCTGGCCCACTGTGCAAGCGCGGATCCGGGGGCAAAAAAAAGGGGGGGGCAAAAGGTTAATCCCCCCTTGACCACTAGATAGCCGCCTGAAAAGTAGGCAAAAATCAAAACTTTGCCCCTGTAAGTAGGCAAAAATCAGAACTTTGCCCCTGTAAGTAGGCAAAAATCAGAACTTTGCCCCTGGAAGTAGGCAAAAATCAAAACTTTGCCCCTGTAAGTAGGCAAAAATCAGAACTTTGCCCCTGTAAGTAGGCAAAAATTGCTACCTCCCCTCCCCCTTTAGGGCGATTCTAGATCCGCCACTGCCACTGTGCACGGTTTGCAGAGAAACGGAGGCAAACAGCACTCACCGCAAGTCGCTGAGTTTGGGGTAGGCGCAGATGCGCAGGGTCTTGGAGTTGGAGCCCACGGCGTACACCTTGCCGTGCGGGTGGAACTCGGCGCAGCGCACCGCCTGCACGTCCTCCAGGGCCGTCACCGCCACGAACTTGGGCCGGCCGGGGCTGCCGATGCTCGCGCCGCCCGCGCCGGAACCCACGGGCTGCAACAACAAACAAATTCGGTTAGCACTATTACAACATTGGTAATCGGTCATCAGGGGACACCGCAAATCGATTGGCAACTTTGCTTGCCGCTCCAGTGGCGCTCCGTTGTCTCCAAAATTTGGCGTTTCAGGCCGCCATGAGGGTGCCAAATTTTGACATTTTTTGGCCCAAATTTTGGCGTGTGGGGCGAGACGGCCAAATGTTTGACATTCAAAACGGAACGTCACTGGAGAGGCAACCAAACTCAACGTAGGCAGAAAGCACGTGCGCCTTGGCTTTTCAGTGCGCGCTTCTGCCCCAACGCGCCAAGAACTGAGGAGGCTACCTCGACTTGAGAGCGCATACAGTGTAAGCGAGCCTCACATGCGCGGAGTAGCGACGGCTCAGTTTCTTCTACAGCCGAGCGATTCAGAGGAGTCGTTTCGTCGCTCTGTCTCTGTCGCACTTACGGGGCTCTCAGTCAGGGAGCGAGAGAGACAGAGCGACAAACGGATCTTCAGAATCGCTCGGCAGTCCGCGGTGCAACGAGAGTAGGCGTGGCGCGCCGTCAAGGGCCGCGCGGTACAGTGGACCAGAAGACCGGTGGAGGCGGTCAAAATCCCGGACGCGTTTTGAGCTCCAGAGTCACTAAACAGGACTCGAACCGAGCGTGTGACCCCACCAATGGACTGCTCTCCGAACGACGAATCCATTGGTGGGGTCACACGCTCGGTTCGAGTCCTGTTTAGCCACTCTGGAGCTCAAAACGCGTCTAGAGTTTGGGCCGGCGGCGCCGGTCTGCTGGCCCACTGCTCGCGGCGTGGCGTTGCGCGGCGGTGACGTCACGGCGTCCAGCGGGTACCTGGACCTGCGGTATCGGGCCCGGCTCAGCCCGGCGCTGGGCCGCCAGGCGGCTTTCTATACGGCACACATGTCATCCACACGCCGAGGCGGCCAGACAGTGTGCGCACACCACCACGCCGCGCCACGCCACGCGGCAAAACCATTTCGCAGACGAAAACGCGCGAGAAAAGAAACGTGCGCGGCCCGGTGCACTGTCTGGTGCACTGTGCACTCGGCTCCGAGGTCACCGCACGGCGCTGCCAGGCACCGCCTGCAGCAGCCCGCCTCATTCCGAAGGGTCGTTCCGTCGCTCTGTCTCTCTCGCACCACTGCGGGACGCTGCGGGACGCCCCATGAGTGCGAGAGAGACAGAGCGACGAAACGTTCCTTCGGAGTCAGGCTGCAGGGCGCCGTCCGCGCGTCGTCAGCGCGCCCCGCGCCCCTCCAGGCCTTCAGCACACGACGGACAAGTGCAAGCAGCACGACGACGGCGTGGAAAAGGGGGGGGGGCAAATCCCCTGAGAAGAAGGGTCGTTTTCTTTCGTGTCGGACCATTTTTCTCCTGCTCACTTCCCACACTGACCCTATCATCACAAGAAAGGGCAGTGCGTTCGCACACACAAACGCACGCGCGCGCGCACACACACACACACACACACACCTACACACACACTCACACCTACGCACACCTACACCTACGCACACCTGCACACACATACACACCTACACACACACACACACACACACCTACACACACACACACCTACACACACACACACCTACACACACACACACCTACACACACACACACCTACACACACACACACCTACACACACACACACACACACACACACACACACACACACCTACACACACACACACACACCTACACACACACACACCTACACACACACACACACCTACACACACACACACCACACACACACACACACACACACACACACACACACACACACACACACACACACGCGCGCGCGCCAACCGGCCGACAAAGCGTTTCCCAGGCACGCCATCCACACTTTGATGACTGCAAGTCTGCCCTCTAAAGCCGCGCGCTGCAGCCGGCGGCCAAGGGATTGTTTCGTCTGAATAACATCAAGGTGGCGGGGCGGGTGGGGCGGGGGCGGGGCGGGGCGGGCGGGCGGGGCGGGGCGGGGCGGGGCGGGGCGGGGCGGGGCGGGGCGGGGCGGGGCGGGGGCGGGGCGGGGGCAGGCCGAAGGGGAGGATGGCTTGGCGCGGACTTTCTCTGCCCCGACACACGATTCGCAGCTTCGCGCGCCGCCGAGCCCCGCTGACGTCGCCCTGACTGCGCCACCAAGCTGCACGTCGCACCGATGCAGTCCACCTGGCCATCAGGCCGGCAGGCAGGCAGGCCGGCAGGCAGGCAGGCAGGCAGCAGAGTGATTCCACGCACTGCGGGAAGGCCTGCCGCCTCCCTGTACGAGAGAGACAGGCCGATACCTCCCCATGAGTGGGAGAGAGACAGCCGGTAGGCGGTAGGCCCCTAGGTAGGCCTTCCCGGGCCTCCGCGCACTGCCCGGAATCACTCTGCAGGCAGGCAGGCAGGCAGGCAGGCAGGCAGGCAGGCAGGCAGGCAGGCAGGCAGGCAGGCAGGCAGGCAGGCAGGCAGGCAGGCAGGCAGGCAGGCAGGCAGGCAGGCAGGCAGGCAGGCAGGCAGGCAGGTGGGTGGCGAACGCCCCACCCCGCACGCGCAAGGGACGAGCGCAAAACGTAAAATGAAGACCTTCAGCAGGCCGGCTGGCTGCCGCCTGCGAAGCCGAGGGTAGGCTAGCCCGCCGAACACGCCTGTGTTGCGGGGCGGCCCGCCCTCGCGTTCGCAGGCGCTCTACCGTGACCTGAGAGGCTGGACTACAGCGATCGATCGCATGCCATTTTTGGCTGTGGAGGGCGGAGAAGGATCACGGCACACGCCATGACAAGCAAGCACACACCGGGCGGAGCGCGGCATGGCGGCATGGCACTGCACTTTGCAGCGCAAAGTCGCCGGCTACTCCAACTGAAGAGTCACCCACTTTGGACTCGCAGTTCCGTCCCTGCACTAAAACAAACCCAGACTGCCGATGACACAATCGCCACGACAGAGGCCCTCGGCGTCGCCGCCGCGCCGCGGCCCCGTCGCCGTCCTCCCCGCACGTCGTTCGCGTCCTTCTTGGCCTCCAGGCGGCGGCGTCCGAGTGAAAGCAAAAACGACTGGCAGGGCTTCGCGCTGCTTCGCGTCGCTTTGCCTCTGCAGACTGATTCCGCGAGAGTCGTTTTCGTTGCTGCCTTCCTCGCACCTGGAGCGCGCGCCCCATGAGTGCGAGGGAGACAGCGCGACGAAAACGACTCTCGGAATCAGTCTGCCGGCTTTGCGTCGGACGCCGAGAAGCGCGCACTTCCGCGGGACGCTTCCGGAACGATTCCGAAACCATTCATCGCTCTGTCTCTCTCGTACCAGCACGGCACGCCCCATGAGTGCGAGAGGGACAGAGCGACGGAGAGCCTTCGGAATCAGCCTGCAGTCTGACGCGCCGCGCCTCGCATTGCCGCGAGACGCACCGCGACGTCCGGCAAGGGCGGGTCCAGAAAAGGGGAGGGAGAACGAGGGGAAGGACGAGGAGGAGGACGAGGAGGAGGAGGACGAGGAGGACGAGGAGGAGGACGAGGAGGACGAGGAGGACGAGGAGGAGGACGAGGAGGAGGAGAACGAGGAGGACGAGGAGGACGAGGAGGAGGACGAGGAGGACGAGGAGGACGAGGAGGACGAGGAGGACGAGGAGGACGAGGAGGAGGACGAGGAGGAGGAGAACGAGGAGGACGAGGAGGACGAGGAGGACGAGGAGTTGGACAATTGCCTTCCTTTGATCCCCACACACAGCCACCTGACATAGGTATGTAAAATCAATACTTTGCCTCACTGTAAGTAAGCGAAACGTCGTGATACTTTGGCCCCTTCCAACCTCAGCAGACTGATTCCGAGAGTCGTTTTCGTCGCGCTGTATCTCTCGCACCGATACCCCATGGGTGCGAGAGAGACAGAGCGACGAAAACGACTCTCGGAATCAGTCTGCAGGCGGCCCTGGATCCGCCACTGGCGTCCGACGCGGCGGTGCGGAGTCTCCAAGTGAGAGCGAGACGCGCAGGCAAGGGAAATAGACGCGCAAGCCGCATTAGCTTACAGTGCACCCGGAGGGCTCTCTTTGCGACGGTGGTGTGCGAAGTGGCAGTTTCCAATCTCGAATCGAATTGAATCTCACGTCGAACAGTTTCTTCCAATCGAATCGAATCTCTCTTCCGGTTCGAATACAGACCGAGACATTCCCACAACAGGGGGGATGGCTTGCTATTACTGCTATTTGTGTTTGTCGGAGCACACTTCAGGAAGAGTGTACTCAAACAAGCACACTTAAAGCAGAGTGTGCTTGAACCAGACACTCTTCAGGCAGAGTGTAACTTGAACGAGCACACCAGGAAGAAAGTAACTTGATCAAGCACACTTCCGGCAGAGTGTACTTCAACAAGCACACTAGGCAGAGTGTAACTTGAACAAGCACACTTCAGGCAGAGTGTAAAATGAACAAGCGCACCTCATGACGCAGAACCGAGGGGTGAATGACTCAGCGTTCTGGTGTACACATGAGTACACGAGTACGGGTGAGTACACCTATACTTTGCTCATAAATTTCGCATTTGTAAACGTTTAAAGGTTTTATTTAGCGTTTTAAAGGACACTCAACGCCAAATCAAGCGAAAAAGTACAGAATTTCACCCTTATTAAACTTGTGAGTACACTGAGTACGGGCAAATTTGTACACATGAGTACACTAATGATTCACCCCTCGCGCAGAACAGAACACTCGATTTTGTGGTGTAACCAAAGGGTGGGTGCATGAGTTTCAACACCCCATAGCGAGTGGCTCTGCGGCTAGTTAGTACACTTTTCAAAGTGTGTAAGCACGGCGCCGAGCGCACTGTGAAAATTTTTGCTGTCAGTTGAAGACAATTTCAAGGCTAATTTTCTTTACAAGAATGTCATCAAAACATTTGTTGACATACTTGTCACGTCCATGCAATAAGTAGGAGCTTTGATGAAAATGTCATCACTTTGTGATGCCACTGACATCATTTTGCAAGTGACGAAAAGGTCGCATC